CCCCCCCCCACCCAATCCCCAACAGAACGATCTCCAAGTAGAACAATGGAGGTTCTCCTCGCCGTCCCGTCAGACCTCGTCATCCATGACCAAGATTGATTGATTGATACATCTTTGTACAACATATCGTACGAAGCTGGTAACAAAAATCACCGGTAGAAATCGTTCATCACAACAACAACCAGACACCACCTATTAGTAAAAAATAACCTCTACTCCTCCACAAAAGCCTCTGCATGGTGAATGGCATACTCCTATGTGAACCAGAGTCCTCACCTTACTTGATATTGGATTATCACAGTCCAAGATTTCACAGCAGACAGGGGTTCCACAACAGACAATAGGTCACTGGAAAAAGTTACAAAGGCCACGCCGCCCACAAAATTGACCCAGATGTCCACACTGCCTTGATAAGCATGATGTTCGCCGCTTAATTGCTTGTCTCCGAAGTGGCTGTGAGGGGTAACAGCTGTGCTGGTGAAAGTTAGGTCAAGAGGTAGGATTGAGTGCTTCTCCGATAATGATTAAACGAGCTCTGGAAAAGGAGGGGTATATAAGGTGTAAGGCTCACAAGAAGCCTTTCATCAGTCAGCAAACTCAGCTGAAGCATAAAGCATATGCTGATGAACATATGTAAAAGCCCAAGGGGTGGTGGCAAAAGCATTTGTTTTCTGACAAGGGTATGTTTGATACTTTACAAAGAGGTAGTGTTTGGGTTACTTGACTTCCCGGTGAGCACTATCACGACTATTGCATGCAGCATACTTTTTACAGTGGCTGCGCATCTGTAATGGTATGGGGAGCTGTGAGCTATAACTGGAAGACACCATTGATCTTCCTCAATGGTACAGGTCCTAAAGGAGTGGTAGCTCAAAACTATCTACATCAGGTACTTGAACCTGTTGTCGCTCCAGCCTATATGAACCTCCTTGACTACAATGCTTCCCCAGAAGCCCAATATATCAAAGACCAAGCCTCGATCCATGGGACTGGTCACATACTTGTTGAGCCTAAAAAAACTTTAGGTATCCCATTGCACCTGTGACCAGCCTCCTCACTGGACCTCAACCCCATCAAGAATGTGTGGAGAATACTTAAGCAAAGGATTAAGGTAAGAGCTAGGTTTCCTAAAAATATTCACAAGATGAGAATTGCTGTACAGGAAGAGTAGGATCAGTTACAGCCAAGAGATTGGAACAAGTATATAGACAGTATGTCAGAACAGCTCACACAGGTCAAGTGATGGAAAGGGATGCAAACTGAATTTTAATTTCTTTCATATATTCTCATTTACCTACTTTACTCTCTTTTTTTTTTTTTAATTTCTCATCTGCTTCTGTTGTTGAAATATCGTCCTTGCATGAACGTGGTTCCTTGTTTTGAGTATGGTGATTTGTGGTTGTTACCGGTCATTTTTGTTACCAGCTTCGTACCTGCCGCCGGCGTCTGCACGCCTAGCTATTATAGCTAGAGAACTACCTCGGCCGTTGTCGTAGGATATCATCACAACAGACATGGAAACACCCACCACACTCCTCCAAAAGGAAAAAAAAAAAATCTGTAATACTCTACCACCCTATTTTGTATCACTTTCTCCCCTACCACTCCCATTAGGGCTGGTTCCTCCCTCGCTTTGCCGAAATTTTCGTATTACATCGTATAATGTCCGAATTTCTATTTGCGCGTTGGGGAGGTTTGAGTCGTCGGGGTTGGGGTGTTGGTGCATTGCTGGGTGTCATTACGCCTACGCTTATCGTACCCTGTCGTCTGGGTGGTTGTATGGCTACGAGAATGCTATAATACACAGGGCTATATATAAATTAGGGGCTCCTGGATGTGTTTGGTCTTGTTGATCGGGGGTGGCGATCCCCTATCGGGGGCTTGTCATGGGTTGGTGTGGGTGATTTCCCGTGATGCGATAGTGGATTTTCATTGGTATGACAGCTTATTTACTCCCAGATGTGATGCTTGACATTGTTATGATGGTTTGAATTCGAGTCCCTGGGTCATGCTCAGTCTATTCACTTTTCCAGAACCACTACTCATAAAATATCACTCGGCAGCGGCATATTCTCTGTCTCACCGCATGCAGCTGCGGTCTTCACCCGAAATCCCACGCCCCGATCCGTCATATCCACAACATCCGCCCCTCCCCCGGCTGCATCGCCAAAGCACACTAGCGGACGTGTGATAAAACCACAGGTACTGTAACGGTGCGGTACGTACCGCCCGCTGTGGCACTATTTACATGCACACTGCCGAAGGAATGTGCCCATGTACGGCCCGCGCTCGCCAACATTCCACCTCCACAACGCACAAAAAAGAACCCATCACTCCAATGCGAACCAAAATCGTGTCCAGGTCGTAATTCGTTAAACAAGAGAGAAATAAAATTCACCGCGGTTTTCGCCCGTATATCACATGCCTGTCCACGGTCAGTACTCCACACTTCCCGCGAGGAGGTGAAAAGGGAAATACTAACACAGGGTAATAACTATGAACCCCCTTATTCTTCAAGTGCGCCTTCACCTCCGTGAGGAAGGAATCCACATCCTCAATGTCCCACCCGAGCACGCGCGTGAACAGGCTCAACGATATAGCGTCCAGCCCATCGAGTAGTGCGGACATCTGGTACGCGCCAATCTCCTTCATTCGCGGGTTCTTGGGCCACGGTCCGTTGGGCAATTTTATAACGGTCTCCACCACGTCCACGAACCCGGCCTCCACGAACCAGCCTTTTATCTTGGCGGCCGTGAGCAGCCGTCGGTTCGACTTGATGGAGGCTTCGGTGAGGTAGTCGTGCCAGCGCTTGAAGGCCGAGTCTTCTGGCAGGCTAGAGTCGTCGCTGGTAGGGTAGAAGTAGCACTCTTGACCTTCGATCCAGCCGCCGGGTCTCAGGGAGCTGTGTTCACCCGTCAGCCACGGCACATGATGACCGCGGAGGGAGAGGGCGAAAAAATAACATACTCGTAGCTCTGCTTAATCAACCTCGGCCAATCCACGATACTCCCTATCAAGTGGCGGAAATGAACATAGTCGAAGGAACCATTGGCAAAATTCCATTCGGCTTCTGCGTCATCGATCTCGAACTTTAGGTTCGGTGGGGACCAGCTTGGTTGGATTGGGGAGATGTCCGTTCCGATAATTGCCGTGTCCCTGTGAGTATCTGCCATGTCGATTGCCCAGTTTCCGGTCCCCGTCCCCACGTCCAGGACCCGTTTCGGCGTCCTAAGCGGAGCAAAGTATAGCCTTCCACCGAAAAGACTGTTATATACGTGGTGGACTAGCTCCATGCGGGCGTTTTCCCTCTACGCGGGGTTAACTGGAGAATTCTAAAGTCGTCGCCGTGCCGGAAGAGCCATTACCTCATCATTCGGGAAAGGGTAGTACCCATCGTGGTATTTTCTACATGGTCTATTAGTCCGGAAATCCAAAAGGCAGCGGATAGTCACTTACGCGTTATATCGACGACCATTATCAACGACATAATCGGTGATTGAGGGAGACAGTGAAGTGGTCTCAGTAGACCTACCGGTACCAAAACAGTCAATACCCAATCAAGATCTAGCTCCCTAAACCCTATCCAACCCAACCCAAGCTCCAAAGGCGGCGCATACTCTCCACTATCCGTCTCGTAGTATCGCTAACAACCCCAATTAGCACCAGCTCCCCTCAAAAACTGAAGGGGAAAAAGGAAGGAAGGAAGGAAGGGAAGAAAACCGCGCAGCTGGGATGAAAGAAAGAAAACTCACATCTACCTCAATAGCCCTCTGCTTGCCTTTGATCATCTTTGCCTCGTCGCGGAATACTTTTCTATACGGCTATGTCAAGTTATTTCCAAGTGCCTGGGCGTCGGGGGGATGCGAGTGGTCGGGTGTGTCCGTCAGGATCAGAAAACATAACCCTTACGTGCTACGGGAACTTGTATGGGATCAGCAAAAGCAGTTTTCCGATTTCTTCTGACACATCCGAGCAGAAGTGCGCTGTATTTGTACCCTACCGGTACTCCCCAACACCAACAAAATCAAAGAAAAAAAAAACCAATAAATCCGGAGGGAGGAAAGTGCCGTTTTTCTGCATACTGCATGTGTCACCTGCCGACGGAATGTCTCGAAAGGTTGCTCTCGAGTGGGCCCGAAAAGCCCCAGAAGCAGCATGTGTGGACCACCCCGGAGCCACACAGCCACTCAGCAAAATGCTTTTATGAAACAGGATTTCACTTTGCAATTCTCACGAGCACCCGCCCCACACGGACCCAAATTGCGCAATATTGGTACGGGTACAAGTGCTCGAGTGGCCGTTGTGCTCGTACATATCCGATGCTCGAGGGCAACATCGCTTAAGCCCGAAGTTGCTACGAGTACAACAGGGCACGATGATACCGGTATCATACTGAATAATATCAACTTGGGGGCTCATTCACACCGGAATACCGTACGAGACTCTCCTGCGCCCTCGACCGAGCCGAAAACTAGTGCAAGGCAACCAATTTAGCTCCCGGCCCGAACGTCCGGTTCATCAGAGATCGAGGAGAAATTCTCCGATCCGGCAATCACTCACTCGCAAACCGAATAAAAAAAGTAAAATTAAAATCGAGGATAACGCCAGCAGGCTCACGGTAACCTACCGGTGTTCCGAGCTGGGCCAACCCGAAACGTACCAAACCTCAACTCACGCAGCCGGGTAATGTGAACGAAACGTTCACCATCACCACCGCCTAACCCATTAGCGAACTCTGACACCGCGGAGCAAGAAACCGGTACGATAAATTTAAAGCGGTTGCACCCTCAGCGAGATTGCACCCACAGCGAGATCCTGACATAATAATCTGCCAAGACATACATAGGTTTGAGGAATGATTTTTGGTTGGTAAGGTTGTGGTGTTGAGCTGAGGCAGAGTGGAGTGGTTTATCTCATGTAGGTTAGCAGTGACCGATCTGCAAAAAAGGAAAGACTTGGCATTTTCTTACTTATACAAATCTCGCTGAGGGTGCAATCTCGCTGAGGGTGCAACCGCTTTATATCTCGTGATGGTGCTTGTGCGAGTGCGAGTGGACTACCGTACTTCCCAGTCGTCCGGTCGGGCAGCCGTCCAGCGCTGCCTGGCTGGGCTACCGTACTCCTCGAATTAGACGGGACGGGACGACGCCAAGGCCATCAGGGAGCCAGCGCCAAACCCTCTTTTGTGGGGCACTACACCGGCACTGTACTGTACTCGTACCTATACTGTACGAGTATTTACCGGTACAGTGCTCCACTCCTTTTTATCGTACCCCTCTAACCTGCTGTACGAGTAGTGTTTGAGTGTCGGTACCATACTAGTGTTTGCCTGCATCGTCTAGTTCTTGTTGTCCACAGTCGGTAGCCATCCACCACTTCCCAAGACGAGGCATGTCTCCTCCTGTCGTCTCCACCCCATCCTGTCAGAACCGGACCGCAGTCCGGCACGTGTGCCCCGGAAATGACGGCAGCTTAGGTGTGTCGAACCGTGGTCTGGCCCACCAAACGTGCTTGTGTGTAACGCGAACTCATAGCCTAGCCAAGCTAATACTGTACTGCACTTGAGGAAGGAGGGGAAGTCTACCGAACTCTTGGTCCAGCGGCTACGGTAGAGCAAACACCCCCCCCCCCCATCTCCGGGCACTGTAAGTCATCACGCTAACCGAGCATACAAGTGCTCGAGCACTGTGGGTTGGTAGGATAATAACGTAATGCAGGAGCAAGGGAGAAAGGGGAATTTGCCCGGGGGCGATAAATATGGAGAAAGGCATTGAAGTATGGTACAGGTGGGGCGGTGGGCCATCATGAGAGGAAGATGGACGAGTCACAATAGTATGATACCGGTACATGCAAGTATATACAGTATATGGATCGCATTAAACGAACGAAAGGCCCATCCTAATCATGGGGAGGTTATCATATCACAGCCGTGCTGTCACTTGGCGGATGACGGCAATCGCAATCCCGGGCCTACCCTGGAACGCACGAATGGACCATCTGTGACCTAAGGCACGCGCCCAAGACAAGCACTCGTACTTGTACTGTACTCGAGTACAGAGCGAGATCCGCCACAAATTCATATTATATTATGTTCTAGACTTCCACTGATTATCTGTGGGCGCAAGGCCTGAGAACCGCCGAGAGGAGGGTCCACGATGGGGCTAGATAAGGGTAACCTCTCCCCTCGCCCGTGCCCCCCTGCCCGCGACACCCAATTATCCCACCTCCTATCCTATCCTCAAGCCCCACGAGAGAAGGCCCGACCCGTATCATGCACGATCCAGCCGCAGTATTGTATGATACAGTAGGATACCAGAGTATGGTGCCGTACCTGTAGGGCAGCGATTGAGTCACAGCGTCCCCCACACCCGCCCTGAACAAAGCGAGATGATAGCACTTTTTCCCAAAAAGGGAAGCCGGTTGGTTTTACAGGCTGGGGAACGACCCACGATGCAATGAATGGTAAAGGATGCCGAGAGGGAGGTCTCCCGAGTGGAGCGAATCCGTTTTATTTCAGCAATCTCTCCCTCATTCCCCCTGCCATCTCATTTCCGTTTGTTTCCAATTTCCCCCTTCTGCGCGGGTATTTTGTTCTAGCTAGTTGTTGAGATGCACGTCTTCGCTATTGATTGCTATCATGCTTATGATACAATTATCTTGCAGGGGTCGCCGGCTGTGGCCTTCAGGGTATGGTGTCCGGCAGTCATGTCTGAGGTCGTGGGTTATGATGCATTGGATATCTTGGTTTCCCGGCTTATTTAGGGCTTAATTGTGTGCGGGATCATGTGTTGTCACTCAGATTCCATTTCTTTGCTCAACCAACCGGAAAACGTTAACCAAAGTATCACAGGATAGCAGCTTCAGCGATCCCCCATCCCACCTCCCAGTATGCCGTGCTCGTATTATAGAGGAGGTGGGTCATCCTCACAATACCAGCCTTCTAAAAGCTCTTCTCAACCCCAGGAATTGGTACCATCCTCCTAACCACTGGGTCCAGGGGAAACAGCTGGTCCTCAGGCTTAAGCCCGCTATAATACAACTGTTCCCAATGCCCCTTGAGCACATCGGGCGTATCCCACCCAAGTTCTTCATTTCGCGACCAAATCCTCATTAAATGTCGTCTATCCCCCCCCACGGTCCATTAGCTCACACCATTCCCCTAATATTGCGCCCGATTTTTTTCGGGGAGAAAGGGGAAAAGAAAAAGAAAAAAAAAACTACTTATGTGTCTCATCATCCGTGTACCCATCTCTCGAGTGGAACAGCGATAGATTATTGATAAACTGTATATCCCCTCGCCGGAAATGCAATCCCAGGGCAAACTTCTCAGCCGTGAAGTGCAACGCATCCAGCGCCTCCGCCATCTCCTCCGTGATCGGCGGGATGTCCGCGGACCTTGGCAACTCTCCGAACCCGATAAACTTCCGCCGCGCGTACTGACTTATCAGTCGTCCGTTATGGAAGTGTATCAACGGCCGGTAATACACCTTCGGATTACCGCCGAAGCCGTCGAACGGCCAGGGTTTGGATAGGGTGTCGACTATGTCGGGACGCGTCGAGGCGAGGTGGTTGTACACTTTCCAGGAACTCGCGATTCGACTTGTGCCACCGCTGGCGGCTTCGCCGAGGACGTAGAGGGAGATGATGTCGCCCGGGTCCGTGTGGAAGGCTTGCTTGTCCGGGGTGTATGCCGGGCTCCCGATGGCGTTTGTGTTGTTGGTTTGCGAACGCAGGTCGGTTATGTGTGCCAGCGCTGCGCCGTTGGGGTCTTGTATCCCCCGCGTGGGACCAATGTGCGATGCTACGCCGACGTACGAGATTGTGTTCTCCAGAGGTTCCGGGTATTCTGGCAGACCACGGAGGACGAAGAAGCCGCGGCCGAAATGTAAGATTCGTGCTTGCCTCTGCAGTTCCTTGGAAAACGAGGGTAGAGGAAAGGTCGTTGGGGAGAGCAGGCCCAGTGGAAGGTTTTGGCCCTTGAACCGCTCGACGGCCGATCTCACTTCTTCGACGTCGGATTCTGTTAGGTGATAGATCCATTCGCCGTCCTTGAAGTCTTTCCCCTCCCAGACAAGTTCCGACTCGAGCTGGTTTGGGAAGCCGGTTGGGAGAACTTGTGCGGGGTTTTTGGCCAGTATACGCTTCGTGCGCTCGGCGTAGGATATTGGGTCTGGGTGATAGGTTATATCTGGCTGCTTTACGGTTTCCATAGGGATGGTGGTGGGCGTGGTGCTTGTCGTTGGAGTCTCCGATCTAGGGTTGCGATGCGCCGAGCTAATAAACCCCCGCCTTTCAGCGATGAGGGATTTAATTTATCAATTGGGTCCGAATTGTGTTATGGGGCATGGTGTTTACAGTCAAATAATATCATGGCTGATAGCTTTCCGCTCAACACTCAATCCACATTAAACCTCATCGCCTTTCCTATAATGCCTGGTGTCATTAGGTGGATTTAGCAGGTCTGGGACACTGGTCGCTATGGTAAACTAATGCAAGCGGAATATCTCCCTAGCCCCCGCCCGATTGCGCCTCCAGAGGCGTCAATTTGGGTCACCCGCGCTAGGTTTTCCTTGATTATCATGTGCCAGATTAGGGAGATGCGCTAATCCCAATTAGTTTCCTAACAAAAACTTTTGGTCTCCATTTCATCCACGGCTATTCCTTTGGGACTGCAGGTTCCCTTCTTTCATCTGTTTTTTTTTTTTTTTGGAAAACACCCTGGGGTCTTGGTTTTATATTCCACTTGAAAAACTTACACCTTCACCCTTAACTGTCTTCTAAATAGCATGAGTCAAAGGCAAGGGGCTTCTAGCGACTTCCCGGATACCGGTATCCTGACTTCACACTTTACTCGCACAACAGAACCTTTCTTGGCTTAGAGAACCGTACTCGAGTACGCCGGATCAGCCAATACAGTACTCGAGTACGGTACTTCTTCTGGTTAACTTGGCAATCTAAGGAATGCCTGTCTGCCTGTGATATCATATCCCCAAGGCTACTCTAGGGTTAGACTACAACCTTTCGGACAACATCTCCCCGCCAACATCCGCTTCTCCGTGTCACGGGTCTCGATCCCTCTCTCAGCAACCAAACCACGATATTTTGTTCGAGATGCCAGGCGCTTCATTAAATCTAATTTTTGGACTAAGGTTACGTTTACAGTGGATGATTCGTATTTACATTGATGGCGCCAGCTATCTCGTGTGGCTCCCTGGGCACTGCAGTCCTCCACATAAGTGTTTGCACTATGCTCCACCGTGGGAGTCCCACCTACCCGGGGGCGCCAACCTCAATCACATATAGTCTACTAAATCTCGATTATTTAATCCCACTTCGGCACATCTGCGTTTACACCACCGCCACCTTTTTGCCTTTTTCACAAGTTGTTAGAAAGAAAACACTTTAAAATTAGGATAGGGGACATTGAATCTCTATAAAAATGAACATGGAGACAACTAATTAGTAATGCGTTGATGACCACCCAGAAAACACCCATCATGTATGTGTTCGGCGACATGATAAGCCTAGCTAAATCATCAATACTTTATACAGGGGTTAAACTCGACAGCCGCCCAGATATCAAGGTAATCGTCCATAGTGCCGGCCTGCCACTTATGCCACGGATAGCTAATGGCGCTGCTGGCTCTATGGATAGGATTGTCTTTGCAATCCCGATCCCAGAAACCGCCTTGCTCTTCCCAATCTGCCAGCGGAAGTTTTTCAAAAGCTTCTGGGGGAACACCATTGGGATTCTCGGGGTCCACTGAGACACCGGGCTTCACGCGCCACATCCCCCCGTCCCCGGTCCCAGCGGAGATGGATACATGGACTTCTAGGAATACTGCATCTTGGTGGTTGTGCACACCTGCGCTAACGCCCTTGCCTAGTTTCGTTAACATAGTTTTTAGTGGAAGAGGCTAAGCACTTACCAGCCGTCCAGAATTGCAAATGACAGAGTGGTGTCTTATCCAAGAACCTGAATTCCACGCCGGTAAGGTTCCAAAAGTCCACTCCCTTGAAATCGCCACCCCAGGCCAGGTCCTCGACTTTAATAAACTTAAAATCGGCCGGAAGTTTCAATTGACCGTATGTGGATTGAAACAACGTTCTGACGGGGATGTCGGGGGTGTTCTTCCACCTTTTGGGCCCATCTTCTGAAACTGGGGTGAAAGATAGGAAGATTACCCCCTCCCTAGTGGTGATAATCGAGTTAGGTCTAAGCCTGGTAGTGTCTTTTTGGTATTGAGGCACACTCAAGGCACGGCGATTGGCGGAAGGATTAGATTCGTCGAGTAAATCACCGTATAAAACTTTGACAGCGGTTCGGCTCCCGGCCACTTTCTGCGCTTTCGGGGGAAGAACTTCTAAATCAACCTTGTACCCTGCGATCTCAAGGAGGGACGACTTTTGGTGCGCCAAGGTATCAGAGGGTTTAGGTAGATAAAGTAACGGTTCCCCGGCCCATATTGTCGAAATTATTTTTGCGGTGGACCCGTGAACTTTGGGTGTTGGAAAAGAATCCAGGTAAAGATGAACCTTGGGGTTTGGTCCTTCGTAGTGACCGGGCACATTATAAACAATTGTGGCAAAGTCCATCTTCCCGGAAGCGTTGAAATCACTGATAGAGGTCAGCCACTGATGGTGACCAACTGTCCAAATAGAGACTCACCCGATCGCGATTCGACCCGCCGACTCCTCTGCAACCTTCCATTTTGCAAAAATTCCATTGTCTGCATCAATCAATTTATAATAATAAACACCCTTGGGTAATTAGCCCAATGTCTCCTTTACTTTTATCCGGCTGGTGGAATATACCTGATGCGGGGATGGCCCGAAAAGAGCAACAAGACACTCATCATCACCATCACCTGTGAGGGATTAGTGCTCCATTGCGAGAATTGTCGGAAAACAGCGGAAAACTCTACCGTCAAAATCTGCAGCAACAACGTAGTGCCCAGGGCCTTGGTAGAGTTAGTGAGGGTCACTGTGAGATTGGGGGGACTCTTGCCTTTGCCACCTTGCTTGAGTTGCTCAGGCGTTCCATAAGTGTCAAGCACGAATTCAGCCCACGTATTTGCATGAGGACCAGTCTGCTTTTTCACGAGTCCAGTCACCGTAGTTCCTAAGACGGGTTAGCCACGCTCGGTCGCTGAACCTAATTCACTAGAGCCTACCGTGGAAGGGCCCAACAGTCAAAGCGTATCCGGCTGGATCCGGGCCGAGCTTTGCTACATCAACGCACGCAGATCCATAATAATCTTTCCCTGGCTCTCGTGGCACACCAGGAGAGATATTCTGACACTTCCACTGGTTGTTCTCGTAATCTGCAGATGGAGCAATGAGTAATTGTTGAGCGAGTGACAATCAGTGAAGACCTACAAAGCCAAGTTATTCCCTCGCGGGACGCAACAAACAAGGAATCACGGCCGTTGAGACTTTCAAATCTACCTCTGGTTAACCTTCGAACTGTCGCTTAAGGGGGGAAAAAAAAGGAAAAACTCATACTTCTTTTGCGCTGCATCATGAACAATTGTGAAATGATGGTCGTCGATTATGTCTCGTCTCCACTCAATACTGATTGGATGAGCAAATATGAATCTTAAGTTCGGTGCGACAGGAAACTCACGCGTTAAGGGGTTTCTCCGGTTTTTGAAACAAGATGACCGGAATTGGTGTTTCCTATTAACGTAAGCATGCAGCACAATATCCTGTAGTAGCATCAACTAGCATACAATGTCACCCGTTGCATGAACCGCTGTGAGGGTTAGCGGTTGACGTTTACTAATATCCTAGGTAGTGCGAGAAACTTACCCGGAATCCCAACAACCTCAAGAAAACTCCTCTGGGTAAAATAGCCTGCCTTAAGCCTATACATTCCCTCCCATCTACCGACAAACCTCGATGCCCATGCGCCATGGACTTTCCCGTCATCGCTTCTCCCAGGGTTCTCGAACCAAGAGATATTTCCCCCATGGGGATTAGTTTCAAGGAGAGTTTTTCCGAAGTCATAACAAATTACAACATCTTTCCTACCGTTTCCTGCAATCTCCGCTGACACCACAGCCATCGGAGAGCTGACGCAGGTAATAATTGTCTCTGCCCATTCTGTGTTGCTCATTGCAAGTTAGTCGTACACGGGATTTGTATGGCATAAGGAGAAAATACCTTGGGTAGCCGTGCCACCCGTGTTGATGGGATTATCGAATAGTGAGATATTACCGGTGGTCAAGCCGTATCTTACACACATTAGTCTCCACCAATAGTGGCAATAGAAGGAATAAAGGATCACACCCAATGAGGCCCGGAGCCTTATCGGTTGGGTCAACCCAAAAGGTCTCGACCCAATATCCGTCAGTCCTGGTACTTTGAACGATTGACCTGGAAAATCGAGGGGTTCCGACGGGCTTCGGGGTGTAAGAGAGAGAAGTTTGGAACGTGTTTTCCTTAATTCTGACCATTTTGAGAAGTTTTGCAGTGATTCTGTGTGTAGTAGGACCAGAGGGGAGAAAGTGAGGAACGTGTCTGCCAAAGAGATCTTTTTTATACGTTTGGGGATGGGCAAGGAAACAAACGGTGGCCAGGTGTTGGGAGGCAATCATTCAATTTTGGTATTTGAGGGGGCTTACGCGGGAGTTGCGAATACAAGAGGCCGTGCGATTGCGTAGACAGATTTCAATTTGGGGCCCCAAATACAGAGAACTTCATCAGGTCCCGGGAGAAGATAGTAAAGTATGATACCTGGCTGCTTCACACGGTATTGGCCTGTTTGAAAAACTTACAGAGATGAAGGGCCGGAGAAGTATCGTCGGAATAATAGTATGAGCCGCCTTTTCAATGCATGCACCTGGTGGCGGACATCTTAATACCCATTGAAGGGGAGATGTACCATTGGAAAATGAAGTTTTGCAGAGAATCACCTATCATTGATGGCCCTTTGTTCTTAGAAAGACGCCGCCTGGAGTACACCTCCTCAGAACAATGTCATTATATTTTTTCCGCCCTCTTATCATAAGTCCATTTTATTTATTCCCCATTCTACTCTCAGGAATTAACTAGTATTTTCACCCTGGGGCTCAGTTCATCTGTAGAAAGTGTGGGAAAGAAATATTAGAAAGGTGTCAGGAGGCTTTAGATTATCTTCTATGATTTTTAAAGTTTGTTTTTAAGTTAGTTGTAGAATAAAGAGACTACCGACAGCCAGTGTAATTTTGCTGTTGGATGTCTCGGCTAGGAATGCAGGCTATTGAGGAGGTTTTACCTGTTTCACGGCTAATCTGAATATCCAGGTTCTAAGCATGCTGTGCAATGCTATGTAATACGGGGGGCCTATTCATGTGCCTATTTAATTCCCGTGCCCAGCACCCTTCAGGTATCAATATAACAGGCAATTTGGCACGCGGGGAATCCAGAAGAGTGATATCATAGTTCTTAACAGCCTTGCCATTTTTTGTATTCTCCAACACTGCCAGGATTATCGTTTGGGTCAACCTTTTCACTACAACACACATGCCCATTAACAGATTGATAATTTTAAAAATATAATGTTCCGAGAATCCTATTTTGAATACCCTACGTTAATTAATACCTTACACTTATTTTATGCGTCCGCTAGCTGACTAATGCGGTCCAAAGAGCCATACCTCACGCAAAATTACTTTTACTTGTATATCAACCCTGCATCTGCCCCCCCCCCCCCCCCCTGCTCATTCCCGTGTGATATCTCGTGATCTGGTCCATGGGGATCGCGATTCAATCGTATCCGATGTGCCCCGAAGGGTGGGATGGGACGGAGCAGGCGGGTAATGTCATGCGGGTATCTTGCTTCCTTAACATGATTGCCCCGTCGGATCATCGAACCCTCATTGCTCATGTGCTCATCATGTGGTCCTAGCGGTGGGACTTCCTGTACCGACGGTAGGGTCTGATATGCACGGTGAAGTTTCATCCATCCGATTGGTAAAGATCGCAATTATTTTCACGAGAAAGGCCATAAGGTATGGATAAATAGTGACTCCAATCCCTCATGGGCTGCCATCCATCCGGCACTTCACCCGAATCCTAAAAGACAGACCGAATAATGACATACCTAGCAGACAGTCATAGCTTTCTCCTACCGGAAGAGTTCTTTGAATCCTTTCACCAAGGAGATTTCACATCTTCAACCCGAGTCACTTACCGTCCTGAAGACAATATCTCGTCCAACCCAGTGATTACGACTGGTGCCTTTCTTCGCCTCAGCACCGGCGACTCAGGGGGGTTGGAACCATTATTGTTGATACAATTTGTTCGGCCGAAGGTTTGGAGAATTCGGTTCGACCCCAACAGCACCCACCCAGGCGACTACGATGACTACAATTCGTAACTCACCACCTCCCAGTGCCTGGAGAACGAGTTCCTTTTCATACCCATTCATAGGTCGAAGAGGCTCACATAACGCATAGGCGGACCATCATATCAGATACCTTGACGAACCTCCGCGATATCCTAGACAAGGTGGAGGGTATTGAGTGGGAGACGGAATTCATTGCGGGGTCCGAAACTGACCAATTCTATATTCTTAGGGTATCTCCTAGACCCTCTTAAAGCCTTAATGGCCTTGTACAATGGATGCTTACCCCAATCCACAGTCCGTACTCTATGGAAACGATGCAGAACCTCGGGAAAGGACAACTATCTCTGAAATATTGGTGTATAAGGAGTGCTTCAAAATTCAGGTATTTCTCACATTTGTGGCAATACTCTCAATTTTAGTTTGACTTATGGTGCCACTTCTAGGTTGTTCGCTGCGTCAATGAGTCTGGAGTAGCAGATCCCCCAGATTCACAGGGCGCACAGAAGGCACTTCACTCGCAGAGGAAAATTGTTTGGGAAACCGCCGGGGTTGGTTTGTCATGGAAAAAAACTGGGACAGCCGCCGCAACTGTCCTAACCTCCAAAAAGCCTGGCCTTGCACGCTACATGGGTATGTTCTCGTAGGAGTTCCGGGCTCTAATGTGCAGGGAAATATCTGGATTTAATAGAGCTTGGTTGCTAATGGGTATATGCTTGAAGGATGGGGAGAGCAGGGAGGGAAAGAGCTATTGAAAAAAAGCACGCTTATGAACTATTTCAGTAGGTTCCTGTAAAACATCTACTCGTATCCTACCGGGGCTGATATTATCGCTAGACTTCGATAACATGACATATAGTAGTGTCTACGGCCAGGGACCACTTGACGAGCGCGAACCCTTATATCACTCGGAGCCGTTCTGGCTGGAACTCAATGGATTGCCAAATTATAAGAGCCAGGTGGCGACCTTTGTTGATAACTATTCCCAGATATGTGTGGATTTCTGTGTGAATCATGGAGGTGAGATTAATGTCGGCACCCGGTTTGGACCATTGCAGTACTTCGTCTTTGCGGGAGATTCCGTGGCTGAAATCATTTAGTAAGCTCAGAGATCTCACTGTAGGGGCTCACTTTATTAAGAATCCTGTGGGGAACAGTCTTTATAGTTCAATAATTGGGCGAGCTCGATTGAAGCCACGATATGTGCTCGGGCATCATCAGGGGTGTATGTCCGAACCCCCCCCCCCCCCCGGCCTCATAAACTCACTTTGGGACATGCGGAGAGTATCTAATATCGGGGGTCAACCAGGCTACGGATACGATACTCGCAATAAGGTCCTCAAAGCAGCTTACGGTTATGTGGATCGAGACATACCTCTGGACGGAATACACATAGATGTTGACTTACAAGTGAGTAATCCCATTTTATTCCCTTCTATAGCCCAAGTTATTGATACAGAATCCATTTGGGATAGGAGGATTATCGAACCTTCACAATAGATTCTGAGAGAAGGTTTGCCCGTCCAAGAGAAATGTTTAACGAGCTCCGGGGGCTTGGGATCAAGAGCTGCACAAACATCACGCCGGTGATCAATCTGAACCCAAGTGATACATATAATACCCTACAAGAAGGCCACAAACATGGGTATACCACACAATCAGTATGACGGAAATTTGATCTAACTGCTCTATCGCAGCCATTTCATAATGGATAAGCGCTACGACGATGGTAGTGGTGTGGTGCCGGTGCATAAAGTCGAATACATCTGCTACGAGGGAGGGGTAAAGCTATTCATCGATCCTGTTAATGAGACAGGGCAGTTCCCAGGAGCCGAATAGTGAGCCTGATGATCCCATCTTCCAACATATCACCCATTTGCTAACCCTCTACGTGTAAAGTGATTTCACCCAGTACTACAATAACCCAAAACTGGCTTATCGCGGCGGTGTAGGATACGGTGGAACGCTGGGTGCGGTGGGTGCTCAAATCATACTGCACTTCTTGGCATTCACGAGCTGATGATAGCAAGCCCGGGCACTACCCGAACCTGAATAATGCCAATACCCGGAAGTGGTGGGGGGAGCAATATAAATATCTTTTCGATCATGGCCTTGAGTTTATTTGGCAAGACATGACGACGCCAGCGATAGCCAAAGAATATGGTGACATGAAAGGGTATATAAATAGATAGCTCCTTCCTACTACATTTGGCACAATTAACTAACCGGGGAGCTTCTAGCCTTCCATTCCGCCTCATGGTGGAATCAGACTGCTGGTCAGGAAAGGACGATTCGCCAGAACAAATGAAGCCAGCTATCGAGATTTGGTCATTGTACAGCTACAATCTGCACAAGGCTACGTACGAAGGCCTGAACAAACTTGAAAGCCGGAAGGGTAGGCGCAACTTCATCATTGGCCGTGGAAGTTATGCCGGAGCGAATAAGTGGGCTGGTTTATGGACTGGTGACAATGCTTCGACCTGGGACCACCTGCATATCTCTGTTAATCAAGTTTGTGAAAGCAGTCCCTTTACCACCAATATCGCTTTATTAACTAACCCAATCATAGGTGCTTTCGCTGGGAATTTCCGGGAATGAAATAGTAGGAACTGATGTCGGAGGCTTTATGCCTGCGGGTGGGTTTGATACTAGCACGGGTGGGAGATGGGCGGAACCTGAATTACTCATTCGTTGGTACTGCGCATACTCAATGCTGCCATGGTTCAGGTAAGCCGGTAGCCCGAATGGCTAAGTTTACGGATTGCCCCTGACTCCGGTATAGAAACCACTACCACGGGAAGAGAGGAATGAAGCTATTCCAGGAGCCCTATGCTTTCACGGACCACTTTAACTCAAATCCGTCCGGTGTCCCCGAGAAAGATCGTTACCTTTGGCTTTCAGTGGAGCCTATCTGCCGCTACTATGTTAAGCTTCGGTACAGTTTAATCCAGCTTCTGTATGATGCTATGTTTGAGCATCAGTTTAATGGATTACCTATTGCGAGGTCGCTGGTTATTACAGACAGCGAAGATTCATCTTTGCTGGGTGAGGTAAGTCTCGAAGCTCCAAATGTGCAGCCCCAAAAGCTTACCGATACTCTAGCAAGATTGGGTGCTCGATAACGAATATATGGTTCGAAATGACCTTCTTGTATGCCCGGTTATGCACCAACAGTCCGTTGCTGGAGGTCATCGTTCAATCTACCTTCCACAGCCAGATGGCTGGTATAAGTTCAATCTAAGGATTGATAATGACGGCCCTCGTCATCACGGAGTACCGCTGGGGGAGCGTATTCCCGGAGGATCAAAGTTCGAAGTCGATGCACATATAGCGAGTGAACCTGCATTCCTTCCGAACATTACACCAATGTTTGTGAGAGAGGGTATGTGCCCCCTCCCCAAACGGCAGCGATTCTGCGCTCACCGTAATTTCTCTGGTAATACAGGTGGGATTATCCCACAGATCGAAGTCCGCCAACACACAGACCACATACCCGGGAAAGTAAACCCAATCTTCATTCACCTCTACCCAGGCAGAAAGACCAATGTACGCCACAATTCGTACACTCGCTCCCCGAAGCTTGGCAACACTAACTTTCGATCCCTAGTGCTACAGCATGTTCCTCGACGATGGCGTCAGCCGCGATAGTGCACCAAACGCATACATAGACGGGGAGAATGTAATAATGACATACGTAGGCATAGACGAGGGTAGGGGCCGTTTTGCGGACGTAGACACAGACCCAGAAGCGAGAAATAAATTCCGCGAGATCGTGTTTGAGCAAGTATGTCACCCCAGCCCCCTGCATCTCTCTTGCATTGTGTTAATGCTAAGGTTGATAAACCCAACAGTCATTCAACCTTCAAGAGGGAACCCGCACACTCACAATCACTGTTCTCAGAGATAACTTCGACCCATCAGATTACATTGGGAAAGTGCTGACTCTAGTATTTTGGCATGAACCGGCGAATTCACAGGAGAGGAGTCAGGAGGTGAGATACGAGGGATATACCGGCACGCACCATCATTGCCATCACGAGAAGCACAACAATACGGTCGTACGGCTTTCGCTTTCCAGTGATTTGAATAAGTGCCGGAAGGTTATGGTTGTTCTTGGGATGTGAGTGGGGGTGGCGGATGTGGGCGGTTGCTTTGGCTAGTGATAGTTGGCGAATTTGATAACCCTGTTTTGATTTTGGCTCATCGCTGGAGTACAGTAAAGTGGGGTTTACCAAAATGTGCTCGTATATCATACTTACAGCTCAGAAGTGATGATATTCATTTACTACATACGGTGGGGACATTTCAATACTTTCCCGGATGTGTGAATATCCCTTTCCAGTTTGCAAGCCCCAACTATATTAACGGACTAGACCACAAAAACGTAAGAGCTTGTCCAGAATAGTTTTTCGTGCGCACAAGTTGATGGTTCCTTGCGCGATAGCAGTGTCAGAAGGCCAATACTGACACAGCTAGGTTGGCCCCTCAAACACTCATAGGCAGTTTGGTTCATTGATTAACGCCAAGGACACTGCTAGTCTCAAGGTATTAATTTAGCTCTATCCGAATACAATGACTACTCGTACTAGTATGATAGTTTACGTTCCCCAAGATCGCTCCCTAGTATCCTTATAATTCCTCAAGCTATCACCTCTCTCGAACAACTTTACCTCCGGGCCGTGATACCAAAAGTTAGAAACACCAACAATTCTACATCATATCATACCTCTCCGTCGCAATATAGATCACTCATTTGTAGCTCACCCCCCTCTCGACTAGCAGCCGCCACCCCAGCATTTATCACGGAAGAGCACCCTCCATTCTCTATTCCAGACCACCTAGAGTTGCTATACTAACTGGCCCAGCAACATGGCACGATACCGCCCTCGAGATCACTGGATAGCATCCAAAACTCAGGAGCAGAATAGCTGACACCTGAGCCTTTCACAAGTTGGCCGAAGCAGTCCCATACACCCCGCCCAGTCTTGTGGCCACTCAGTGCCTGTTTGACTATAACGCGTATTTGGTGGTGGCATTTTTAGAGTAGTGGGCGAATCCGGTTTTCGGAGGAAACAAGGAAAAGGTGATTTTCGAAGGCTCGAGCGCTCGGCGGATGGCCTCGTGAGCCCTCATTCCGAAAAACAACTCACTTCTCTGTTCAGCGCCCACAAATAGACCCTGCTGGTTAACACAGATTTCATACTTGCCTATTTCTTCTCGCGTCCTCTAGGTCCCTTTCCTAATAGATCGGCCAACACGTGGTAAATAGGAGGCGGGACATTTGATACAGGCGAATTATGCATGCCCTTGATCCTATATTTATATCAGCAGTAATCGATGATAAATTTATGTTCTTTAGCACGGGAAAACATCCTCTTCGCAAGCCCAGAACGTAAGGAATTGAGGTCCGATCCCTCCCCCTCGCACGGTGCTCCCGAGGATGAAACGGAGTGCTCGGTGAGCCAATACCCCGGTCACCGGGCGCAACTGCCATCTCCGAGATCCATATCTGGTATGATAGATATATTAGCGATTTACAGGTGTCCAGAATCAGGCACAGTAATCGCCGAATCCAACCCTCTAGGTTAACCCACAACTACAATCTCTACAGTAATTCCCCGGTCTAGAGGCGCCGGTATCATTGCCTCAATAGATTTTTAATTTTTTTGACATTACTGTGTCCCCAGCCCCCCTCGATCCAGGCCCGAAGCATGGTGTTGTCAGATTAAACTTTGGCCCGCGCCCGGGTAACCTGACTTTGCTTTTCCCTATCCCTTCTCTTGTTCCCGAATTTCACATTGTTTTAGCACGCGGACTAACCAATTAGTGCCAATTTAGCCACCATACACAATAGTGGACCATTCCCAATTGATCTATTCTTTTTGGGTCAAGTCCACAATCCATAACACTAGTCTGTTCAGGTAACCATGATCACCTACTACTACAGTCCTACTTTAGTTGTTTCAGTCACAGTCATGATGAGTACTAGTAGTATATAATGTAAGACATGCTCAACACTACATCTTTGGAGACTTACTGCAGTTTGTTCTATCCTAATTTCAATAACAGGTTAGGAGGTGTTTAGCATACTGTGATTTGAGTCTAATCTTGAAATCAGGTAGTAGTTAGAATTTAAACTCTTGATTTTAATATATACATATTATTATAATATTAATAATAATCATTATATATTAATTATTATAGATAAATATAAAGATAATAATTATTTAGTAATTAAAGTTAAATATACTAGAAGATCTAGGTCTAATATACTAGTAGAAGGATTGTCAGTACTACTTAGTACTATATTTCTATCAATACTATTTTACTCCAACATAAATAATCAGATTTGACCATTAATTATAATATATATTGTATAAGAAATTGACTATTTACTAGTTAGTATACAAGTCTAATTTTGATTTTAATTCAATATTCTTGGCTAGAATTCTTGTAATTAAAATTTGAGCTTCTACTCAAACCAGTTTAAAAGTAAAAATTAATTGGTAAACTTGAAGTGAGATGAGAAATGTTGTAGGCATTTAAAGTAGGATATGAAAGAGAAAATGAATCAAATTTTTTATTATTACATTTTTCTAATATGATTGACATTAAAATTATTACTATAATTATATGCAAATCAGAGAATATTTGATACACTTGTGATTTCAAAATCATGATTTTGCAATTTTATAGTTTAAGGGCTTAGCCTCTGATTTTGAAATCAGCAAATCATAATTTTGAAATCAATCATGATATGCCAAACACTCCCTTAGTGATCTGAATTGCAATCTTGATCAGAAAATCATATTTCAGGAATACTCTAATGAATAACAAGCAATACTATCCAACCTGTACTCTTATTCACTCACTTTTAGCATGCTACTAACATGGTAATTGGCAATTGCTAGAGCTGAATAAGCAAAGTTGAATCTATCCTTAAAATGCTGAGAAATCTGGCCCTGTTTAAAGTCTTGAACACTAGCCATTTGAGTAATTGTGATAGGAAACACTCTAGGGATCCCAAGTGGAGTAGTACTCAGAATGTAGTGAAGTTTGCAAAAATCAGCATGGCCATGACAGAAACAGGAGGGTCTGTGTAAATTTAATCCCACTTATGTCTCTGTGTTCTAAGAAATACTAGTATTCTTTACAGCTACATCCTCGGTTGCTGCTCCTGCTTCTCTCCTAGTGCTGCCTTAGCGCCAGTGTTTGAAAACGGTTTAAGGGATGGTCTTGGCTACCCACCAAGATGATACCGGTAATTTGAAAACAAGGTAATTTAAGATGTGTCCTGAGATCATGATTGCAGCTGAGTCAGACATCGCCAGGGCCCGGTTTTGCCTCAACAACAAACCCTGCCCAGACCCTGCATTCCCTATCAGCCTCCTCCTCCTACCTTCTAATAAGCCCGCGCGAACATCCTCCGGCGAATACATAACCAAGAGATTCTTCTCTATTGAAGGAACGTTTACAGCACGATACAATGTCTCTGCCACCACAAACAATTCGGATCAAGCGCCCCCGTGACGAGGCTCCTGTTCAGGCGTTATGTACGTATTTTACACAGCTACTCATGTCCCAGACGACGCTTTAGTGAATTTAGCTAATAGGGGGTTTTTTTCCTCTTAACATATAGACGTTGACGGCAATACTCGCACTCCTCAGAAGCGCCAGAGAACCGGACACTCGCCAGATTACGTCTTTCGGCTCGCACACACGGTTACATCTCCAACTGATCCCACCCCCCGCCCGTTCCAGCCCAGGACCTCGAGCCCACCTCGGCCCTGTAGGGTTCCGCAGATTCGCAGTACATTATCGTCGTCGTTGGGTGTGTCTGAACCATCGCCAGACTCTCCTAGTACCGGTTTGCCTTTGACGCCTTTGGCGCCGAGGAATGCTTCTACCGCTACTACGCCACAGCCAGGAGAAAAGTTGGTTTTGGATACGGCTACGACCCCCCGGAGTGCGTTACTTAAAGCACCGGTTCCGCTTAGTGCGATTTCGTCGAGCGGGGGGAGTGCTCTTGAGTCCTGGACTGTGGTTTCCCCGGATAGTCCGCCTGCTTCATCCCCTGTGCGAGCTCCTGAGCGACACGGCACGCCCCGACACGATACTTTTGGCAACGAGTCACCACGGGCTGGAGGGCTGACGCCGGCTGTCAAAAGGAAGAATGGGGAGATGGAGAGAGGGCAGGGAGATGAGGCTGAGGAGAGGTCCGGGACTAAGAGGAAAATGACACCAGTCCGGAGATACCAACTTGCAAAGCGGCTTCGTGTCAAGCATAGCCACCATCCATATTCCAGTGCCACCCGCCGGAGTGCTATCTTTACGCGAGTTCTTGAGACTCATGATACCGATACAGACCGGGCAGAAGAAACTGCAGCAGTGGAGATAACTCCTGAGCCAGTGGTGGAGCGTAAACGCCCGAGAACTCACCCACAAGAGAAAAAGAGGCTGGAGGAGCAAAAGAGGAAAGCGGAAGAGGAGGAAATGACGAAAGGAAAAGAGGCCAAGCTCAACGATCAAGTGGACGATAATGACTTCCTCATCGCCCCGTTTCACGCGATGGTGCTCGAACACCTTAACTCGTCTTCCAACGACGGTATTCGCAACCTACCGCCAGCCTCCTCTTTAGCGAAGCCGGGGGATACAGCATCGAAGATCGGTGGAGGAGTGGGTGGCGGAACATGGGGGGGACCCGGGGAAGAGGATGGTTTCGTCTACGATGTGTATATCCGCGAAGAGCTTCATGTCTCTGTTGACAAGAAGGAAGGAGACTACGGCGTGTTGGTGATTGAGGGTAGTGATGACGAAGGATGGTGGTATGAAGGGGGTCCAGATGAAGGTAGCGAGGACGATGTCTGGGCTAGTGACGACGAGGATAGCAATGGTTTGCCCCCCTTCATTTTGATTCCTTTCACCACGTAACGAACGAAGTGTGGCTTACCGGCGTTTGTAGCTGAGGACTTTCATACCAATGACTATCCTGAAGAGCCCACCTACGACTCAGACGATGATCTGCCCCGCCGGTTCAATCCCTCTGACGAGGATTCTGACGACGATCCAAATGTGTTCAAACCATGGGCCAGATGCGGCCAGAGGTTTGGAGATGAAGAATATGACCTCGATGACGATGATGAAGATGAGGGGAGATTCAACGTCAAGCAGCGGATCTGGGGCATGATTGGCGGAGATGAGGGGGATGACGAAGAGTAGTAGGGCCCGGGGGTGGGTCCTGTGCTACTGATAAAATCGGGCAGAGGTCTGATATGGGTAGATTACAATGACGAGCGATCTGGTTTTTCCCATCTTTTTCCTTTCACCTTTCCATATCTATCTACATAGCGAGGGCATTATTTTTCATGGGATTTCTTCCTTTCATCAGGTTTCATAATGTTTTTTGTAAAAGCTGTAATCGCTTTTTTCCTACGCTTTCATAGCATATACATCATGGATTTTTAGAGAATTTCTATCTATTAGAGTTAGTATAATACTATAGATTTTTCTTGGAAACATTTTTCCAGGCTAGTCGGCCCCGGAGAATGAGCAGCCGGCTTATCGCATAGAGACTGTAACATGGCCCGAGTGCTGATTATCTAGTTATAGCGCTATCGTGCTGGTCCGGGATGGTGGGGGGAATTGTTCCCCCTAAGAATTAGGCCCCTAGAGTGGCTAACTATGCCAGTAGACCAATTCGCGTGGATCTGGAGTCCTGTTTTTATTACGGGGCGGTTGAGCCCGCTTGAAGCGGCGTATGTACAATACTTGCCAGTGGGGCATCTCCAACGTCCCTCCCCCTTCTCCCTTCAACACTTTATTTTCTGCATTGGATCTCGGACGCTTTTCCCTTCGGCAGCAAGACCTGTACCGGTACTTCAGCCGTAGACGGCATGACTCCTAGGGAAGGGGCCTCCAATATATACCGCACCGCTTTCATGGCACAAGCGCCAGGGGAGATGTTTTCTGGCATGACAGGGATTGTCTGGTGGATAAGCACTCGCATAGAGCCTTGCTCGGGGAGATACAGTACTCGAGTAACTACCCGTACTCAAGCACAACGTTTTAGCATATTTATCCAAAGACCTCGGGGAAAGATATTAGTAATCGAGCGGGGGCCTGTGTTCTGTTGCTGATGTGATCAATCTACTATTCGGGAGGATAGCTTACGGTTGAATGCGGTATGGTGAGTGTATCTGTATTACAAGTAGAAAAGGCGTCGTACGATGGGCTCCAATGCGGTACAGTGCCGAAGCACGTACCCGGAGATGTCCTTGTATGGTAAGAGTACCCGTTTTAAATTGGCTCTTTGTGCAGGCACCCTATCATATCCTTTAAATTCCTTCCCCCATGCTCGTGCTCGCCTGTGTCCCACCAAGGGAGGATTGTTTTATTTTTTTTTCCAAGTTGCGATTCCTGAGATTGTGGATTTCTTTCCTTTTTCCGCCAGCCAGTGGTATTTCCCGATGGAGCATAATGGTACTCGTACAGTACATCGCTTGCAAGGCTGTCACAATTGAGCAGCCGTCTTCATGCACTGTATCATGGCTTGTGATGGAACCACGTCGAGGGCACTTTTGTTCGCGGTCCAATTCCCGATGGGAAGTCAAATGCGGTCGACTCATAGGGCGGGTGGGATATGCGGGCCGTTGGATCTTATTGCGGTATGGATGGGATTGATATATAATGGGGGCTATCTTGGGGCAGATGAGGGTTGGCATCTTGCCCCGCGGTCTCCTGCAACCTCCTAGGTCCCGACCTCTTCTGCTCATATTTTTCACGAAATGACATTGATGGACAAGTTTAAGTCTCACCATGACCCCAGTTCCGATTCTAGCGATTCGGAATCGGATGGCAAGCCCGGGTTTCGCAAGAGGGTTTCGACCCTCCGACACCGGCTATCGGACAAGTTCCCCATCCACGAATCGAGCGAGGGTCGAGCCAGCATGGAATCTCGTACCACCATCAGGAGCGAGCCAGCCTCTCCCGCGCCGAATCGACCGACTCATGCTGAATTAGATACGGAGGCTGAAAAGGCCACCGCTCCCGCTGCGCGCCCCGTACCCAAAGGGATGTTAAATGAAGTCAAGACTCTCGACACTCGGTTCAATAAACGAGGAGAGCGACGCCTTACCGAGAGCACGGTTTCGTTCACGCATGCGATGGTGAAACCGAAGGCAGAGAACTTTTCCGAGTACTGTATGGTTATTAAACGGAGGTTCAATGAGGAGGGGAAGCAGATGAGCTCAATATTGGAAATTTACTCACCGTATCTTATCAAAGCGTTTCAGAATATACTCGGTCGTAATCGCATTCACTATGTCGAGAACAGGATTGATATGGGGGATCTAATGATTATCGAAGGGACACCCGAGATGGTCTATCATTATCGGAAGGAATTATCGGAATATAGACCTAGTAACACTGATGAGGCGGGGGATACGACGTCTCAGATCGGTTTGCTCCTGGCCTACATGCAGCATAGTATGGGGAATGAGCTATTGGAGACGGACACTTTCCTTAGTCGGGGGCTTATCAAATATCAATGGCTATGGATGATTTTCAGGCCAGGAGATCTGGTCTATCACCCTTCGACGGATGAGCTGTCCTACCTGTGTCGGACAAAGTACCAGCAGAATGGATTTTGCCTCGTGTTCGAGTCCGTGGTATATGATGGGAAATCGTTCAATAGAGTCCAATTTAGTCATACGATTCATAGTTTCGATACTACTCGGCCAATATCGGCGCTCTCAGTTATTCCATTGTCGCTTCGTGACGATTCCGAAGGGCTCAGAGAGAAGCTGTTACTGAGAGGGGAATGGTATTTCAATTTACAGGGTGCGAAAACTGTAACCCATCAGGTATTACGTCCTCTCTCCTCTGACCGGTCTTGGTGGATTTTGACTCGGCAATACGTAGAAACTCGGTCGTGTGGTGGTTGACACCAAGACCTACAACAGGCGATCGAACCACAAACAGCCTTCGGCAACCCACACCCCACATGGGACGAAAAAGTGTGTCTGTGCATGCGGTGTCTGTGGGGATTCCCCGCAGGGAAAAGCGAAAGATTCCAACCACAAGCTCCGAAAGCTTAACAACGAGGATCAGTTGCTGTGCATCTCGACAATACACGGCTTTGTGCTTTCTAGAAAAGTATGGGAGAAGATTCGCGTGGAAAAACTAAAGCCTACCCAGTGGCGAGAAGATCCGATGGAGGACGTCGTCATGAGCGAGTCTGTGGAAAGGGCGATCCGGGATCTTTTGCAGTCGCCAATGTTCTTTGGTAGCGGTATTTCTACGGAGATGCTGGGGAATAAGGGAAAGGGGTTTGTCGCTCTTCTTCATGGGGGCCCCGGCACTGGAAAGACCCTGACGGTGGAATCAATTGCGGAGCACCTAAAGCGGCCACTCTACGTCCTCACCGGTGGAGAGTTGGGATCTACCCCGGAGGAGGTGAATATGAAGTTTGGAGATGCTCTTGACTTGTCTTTCAGGTGGAAAGCCATAACGCTGATCGAGGAAGCGGATTCGCTTCTCCAACAACGCTCCCTGGAAGATATTTTTAGGAGTGGTCTGGCCTCATGTAATCACAAATCTCACTCTAGTGTTTCTTCTCTTGTGCGGCGCTTGCTAACTAGAGTCAAAGCATTCCACCGCAATTTGGAATATTTTCAGGGCGTCCTCTTCATCACCACTAACCGCCTAAGCCGAACAACAGTTGATAGAGCCATATTCTCGAGAGCTCATCTCGTAATCCACTACTCTTACCTCGGTACGGATGAACGGCGAAAAGTCTGGCAGAACTCGGTGAGGGAGTTCTCGTCCGAGGAGGTGAGGATGTCGAGTGAGGATTATTATAGCCTAGCTATGCATAATATTGACGGTCGGAGGATTTCCTATCTAACACGGGTTGCGATGATGCTTGCAAAGAGGGCGGGAGAAGAGCTGATGAGGCGACATTTCGAGGCTGCGTTGGTGATTGGAGGAGTGGAAATCAAGGGCAAGGTTGTCACGACATAATGGTTCACTGGAATTCTTTTGGGAAGTTTATTCGGTGGATGTGTATTGTACGATTCGCTGCGCGGGACTGGTCTTGAAGGAGTGTGACGAAGGTGTTTTGGTGTTGCGATATCATACTTGGCGTGTTTCAACGATCAGACCCTCACTACTAGTGCAGTCCTCTTTGTCCGCTGCCATAAAAAAAGAAGGGCAACTGCTACAATTGAAAGCTACCGGTACCACAGTGATCCCGTATAGTGCACTAGTAGTGTATGATACTAGTACTGTATAGTGCTTCCCTCCAACCTCCCGCCCCTCCTCCTAAACCTGGGACAGGTTCGGTAAAGCAAGCAGACCTCGTTCAGCAGCAAACATGAGAAGGGGATGAATATCCGGAATTTGTGGAGCTCTTTTTGTTAAATGGATCAGTATTTTGCCGTACCGGCAGCGTACCGCACTAATCAAATTTAGTACTGAACTGATGCGGGGTGCCACTTCTGCGCGCGACCGCTGAGTTTAGGTCGGAAATACCGGTATGCGATATAAGCCCAAAGCACGGCTAGCAATGGAAATCATCACGTTTCAATATCGAGAAGAAGCAAATAATGTAACTTTCAGCACCACCAAAGCTGTGCAAAAGATCCCTTAAAAAATTTTCCCGTTCTCGGGAAAGTAACCGACCGCGACACCCGTATGATATTGTGACTGCACCTTCTTCTTCAAATCATCACGACGGTATCGGGCGTATATACAGTACAGTATTGTACAAATACAGCATGCAGTGACCCGTCCTCCCACCCGGATGGTGTGATCCGCACAGCGCAAAACACTACGCTGAGAGTTAACCTTAGTGATGATCCCGGCGGTCGCCAGCTCACCCGATCCCCAGTGAGAATGTCCTTCCCGCTAAACGCCAAGCTCGCCTACAGGAAACTCATCTCACCCCTAACCTTACCGAAAAGCGATATCTTGGAATCCGAGCCTTCCCTTACTGTATTAGTATGAACTTATGCGGTAACTTCCGTGTTGAACAATGACTAATCGAAGCGCGAGTGAGGGTATATGACCTACAACTGAGTTGCCCCCATAATCACTACCGGTACCGTATCCACCCGTGTAATTCACCATCTTCGGCATGCCTCTAATCTCCAGATTCCGTGTCGATAGCTCCTAGGAAGGATTAACGCTTTCTAGACACGGTATAAGGTCAGCACCCCGGATTGTCGGATCCCGCTAACCGGTGTGTCGTAGTTGTGGTAACCCATCCAACTGAAGCTTCTCGAGAAGGAGTCTCCATCGAGCCCGGAGGGTAGGGCCCGCCAGAGATATTGGATTACACGAGTAAATACAGCACGGTATTATTTGTTGTTATTATTGTTTCCAGAGGTAATTGTTATCTTGGAGGGAATGATTTACGGGGTCAATGGAGTGAGAATGATCCGGTGACTTCTTGGGCGTGCGGGTGCTCGTGTCCCGGAAAGTGGGAAAGGTGTAGTATTCCCTTCTCGTGGGTGGCGTAGGGGCTGTGAGTGTCTTTGGTGGATGGCATGAAGGTCTTTCCTTTATTTTTCTTCTTCTATTTAGCATGGTACTATACTGTTTTTCTCTGTCTTACCGATCCGATATGGGTGTTTACACTTATGCCCTTTGCTTCAAAATTGCTAGGTGGATAACGGGAAGTTGATTACTAAGATTAAAATTAAGCTATGATATTATGATAATTATCATAGTTGTATTATAATGGAGGGATTTTTTTGGCAGTGGGTATTGGTCTAGTGAGGCTAGAATTAGGCATGGCTGGGCTTCGAGGTATCATGTCATACCGGGCGGCGATACCTATACGGGGTACGGGATTGGAGTGTTAAAGGTAAGGGAGGCGGTGGGGGGTTTGGCTGAGGGTAGATAGAGTGGCTGGCTCAGAGCCTGTGTGGCGGATATTGATCTGTCTTTGGGTTCGCGGTGGGTTTGGGTGTTTGAGGGGAGCAAGGGGGGTTAGTGGGATATGTTAGTGCCGAATTGTATAATATCATAAGATCGTTCATGCCATCTATCAGCACCAGCGTGAGTAGGGTCCTGATAATTCGCCCAATTATGATATCTCTGCCCATCGCGGTCGCCACGACCAATCATCTGGTAAGAGCTTGCGCTAACAATACTGAATACCGGTGTCCCACTATAACCTATTTATGATATATGATATCCCCTTAGTCCTTTCACCCTGCATTCCTACCCTAACTTCCTGTCTCCCCTACCCTCTCTTTGATCTCTTCATCTAGCTTGCTCCAATCTTCAGCATTCATCTCCCTCAGAAGCTCCCTAACTTCCTGTCGAAACTTCGGATCCCCCTGACAGCCCCGATTCCTCGCCCCGGCAGTAAACTCAGACTCAGCATACTCCCTCTCGATAAGCTGTAGGAAGAACGCCAATAATCCATCCTGCCCGCACCTGTACACCCTGCCCGTTACATAGGAATATATCGCGAGGGTTCTCAGTGTCGGGAACCGCAGGCGGTGGAACTCAGCGGGTGATCCGGGTTGGGGAACGCCGGTGCTTGGTGTCCCACAGGCCTTGCTCTGGTGTACGAGCTCGAGGTAATCTAGGATGTTGACATAAAACTCTCGGAGGATCTAAGTGGGCGAGTTTCAATTGAGCTCCGTGTGATACAAGGTGATAAACGCTTTCTCACCTTTTTTGCTTTCTGGAAATTTGTAGGAGGCTTTCCCAGGTCGAATTGCTCGAAGATGATTTTCCATGGCATTGAGCTGTTTGAATTCTTTTCTCCGTCCAGGAGAGGGACGAGGCTCTCTTCCATGGCGTAATTGAATCTTCTCAAGAGGGTTTTGAATTCTTTTGTGTCCCCATACCTTGTACTCCCCGCACATCCGCGAGTCTTCCATTCCCACGCTTTCTTCTCCGCTTGGAGTAATTCCCAGAGCTCAATCTCCGGGGCCTGGCCAGTGAACGAGTACCCTGGGTGCTGATTCCTCATCAAGAACTTCTGAACAGGAGTCTTCCCTTCAAAGGCCTCGTCACCGCCGGTCTTGTTTTCGTCCCCCCCGTTCGCCGCAGAGATCTTTTCCTCGATCAACGTCTCAAATTCCTTTTTATGCTCCTTAATAGTTCTCCCCTCCCACCCCTTCTCATTACACATCCGCCAAAACTCCTCTACTCTATCGCTTCCCGCATCATACACATACCCCCCTGCACCTTCGTCTTCGAACCTCTCAAAGAACTCCGCCACACGGACAGCGCGCTCTAGTAGTCTGCTATGCTTGGAAATGCCCTTCTCCTTCCACTGGCGGGCCTTCGCTAATCGCTCGAACTCTACGTCCACCGGGTTGGTGGGGGTGAAGGTGTATTCACTGAAATCGTATCTTTTGAAGAAGTTTGCGTGGACTGTTGGAGAGTTCTTGGTGGATAGATAGAATCGGTGGAGGAGGTGGAAATTGGTAAAGAGGGCCCTTCTCCGGGGTATGATAGTGAGGAGTTTTGACGGGAGCATTGTAGGGTTTGCAGTCGTGGAGGCAGTGTACGGGGGTGGTTTTTTTTTGGGGGGGGGGAGAGTAATTGTGTTTATACTGCAGTATTATCTATTTATTTGGGAAATTTTATAGCACAGCTCAAATCTAGTGTTTTAGAGGTGCGAAACGATCCAAGCACCCACTTTCCCACGGGATAGCATCTAACTACCCTACACATTTAACTCTCGGCCATGTATGATACCGCACAATTAAACAATCGGCGACCGAGTTACAAACCGTACAAATACCGCATCCGTCCAACACAACTTTCCGTGAACTATCTAGCAAGCACCTAACCCCTAGCTCCTGAGATTGTTACCGGGCATCATACTGCCGCCCAGAGGTATGATACCGTAAGTCAACGACGTGCTGGGGATCAGGAACATTCTTTTAGCTAAATCACCATGACAAACAAGAGATATAAATTTACAGAAAAAGAAAAAAAAACCAGAGCCACAACGAGTTCTAAAGCAAATCTTTTTTGGTCTTTTTCTTTTCTTCTTTTTGCCCAGCCACCACTACCCCATGGTTTGCTTAATATAGGGAAAATGCAGTGTGATATGATATTCTATCACCAAACGCATTCAAGTTTGCCCCCCGCCCCTCCAAACCCTCAAACCCTCAAACTGTAAGGGTCATCAGAGAGTTACGTTGTATTGTATCGTATCGTGGTCGCACCTTAGGAGAGCCGCAGTAAAGTGCTGTTTTGGAATCTTTTTTTTCCCTATACAAAACCAAAGTGAGATGTGAGTGATAAAACTTCTGTATGATACGGTCAAACGGGTGGGGTCTTCCCTAGCCGGGAGTGTGATAAGATATCGGGATGATTGAAGCCTAGATATAATATGGTGAAGCCCCATATTCGGAATAACAGGAGAAGGGCCCGTGCCCGGGGATTTGAGGGCGAGTAACGGGATTTAGGGGTCATGATAGGTCACTCGGTGTCCCGACAGGTATGATAACTCTCCCTCCTCCGGATCCCTAACATTCTTTCGCCTATGATAAATATAGAGGGGTGTTTAAGGTAGTCTACATAGCAGTGCTTTTTCCTCCTGAAAATTCTATCCTAGACCAAGTCAAGACTCCCAACCGGGCACCACACGCTCTACCGACCCAAAGGAAACTTATAGTTCCTCCTCCTCCTCGTCCCATTCTTCTATCCCCACACCGGCACGGCCCCCCCATAGGGGCTGTAGGAGTAGCTTTAGCGTCCCGTCCCCCTTCGCCATTTCTAGTGGGAACACTTTGTCGTTCCCGCGAGAGTACTGCGCCAGCTCTGCACGGCTAGGGTGGCAGAGCATGGACGCTCTCATATACTCATCTTCCCCAGTGACGTATCCTTCCCCTGCAGAGCTATCATAGGGCTCTTCTAGAAATTCAAGAAAATCGTAGATGTTAACGTATATTTGCTTGATGATCTTCAAAGTAGGTGTCAGTCGATGCACATATACATAAAGGGGGTTCCGGAGTCCGGGGGTGGTATTCAGTACCTTTGAAGCCTTAGTCTTCGAGGTGGGAATATCTCCCAATCGGAATAGCTCTAGGATAGACTCCCATGGCCTCATTCTGTACCCCTCTGTGGCTTCGGCCCTCATACCCAATAGCCCGTCGAAACGCTCCTCTACCGCTTCGTGATACCCCCTATCCAGAGCTTCGAACTCCTCCGTTTCCCGAAAATCCTGGCGCCACGTCCCGCGCGGATCACGAGCTCTCCAGGCTCGCCTTCTGACCTCGATTAGCTCCCGAAATTCGATTCTGGGGGCTTGGCCGGTGTATGTGTAATTGGGGGAAGAGTGGGTGACGAAAAACGCGGCGATGACATTCCGCATTTCAGGAGCTTCAGGATCGTCCGGGTGTACCGTTTGGGCGTCCTCTTCTTCTTCTGGGTATGTTATCTCCGGTATCGCTTCAGCTTCCAGGGGTGCCGTCTCCTCGGGCATCGTGTCCCTGGCAGCCATGAGGGATTCGGCCGAGCCACCTCGGAGCTTTAAATATTCGTTCACCGCCCTACCGATCCGGTCCTCATCCCACCCCTTCTTCTGGCATAGTCGCCAGAACTCGTGGTCATACCCCGCACCCTCTCGGAATGCATAGCCTCCCCACTCGTGCTTCCAGAAGAAGTGTGCCAAGTGGACGGCACGGTCGAAGAGTTTGCGATGCGTATGCCCCTCCTCGGGCCCCCACTGCTGCTCTTGCTCCAGTCGCGAGAATTCGTCATTGATGGTGAGTGTAGGATCGTAGGTGTAGCTTGGGGAGCTGTAGCCTCTGAAGAATTCAGCAATTGCTGCTCTGGATGGAGACGTCATCTCGATCCCTTTGTAGGACGAGCGGTGAATTGGGGAGGGAAAGGAGGATTATATACGGCACTGATTTGCACCCGGAATTGGCCGTTTACCCCCTCTCGATAATCCCCTTTGCGTCATATCAGAAGGGTTCATGCACCGAGGTGCGTAATTTTCTTCAAGTAATTAGTTATCGCATCCGATGATGCTCTTAACGCTATAGCGCAGCTGCAAGATTCATAGCAGGGTAATATACTCGTGCGGCTTTTGGAAGTTGGAGGCAGGTGAAAAAGGAAAGAGGAAGTGTCCCCTTGTTCTCGAGAATCGTTCGACTTTTATGACACAGAGTCGGGTGTGCTGCAAGATTCCACGAATCCGATAGTCGATACCTGATGAAAGGGAAAAGTGCAATTGGCCTTGCAGAATTCCGGTGAGAGTACAGTACTGTACTCGAGTACGAGTACGAATTCGGGCAGGCATTATGCGGGTAAGCTAAGTTGCGCCCGAGTGCAAAGGCCAATCACGAGGGGTGCCGATGGTAGGCCTGATAATTCACAGTTAGCCGAAGACAACTTCTAGGATGTCGACCGAGTGAGGTGTATCACACCTTATTGTATGTTATATATCCCTCACTCCCCAATACCCCTAGACCCGCTCCGGACTATAGCGGCAACTCCCTCTACCTTTGAGCTCGGTCGATTGAACAATCTGCGAGCTGGATCAGAACGTACAGGCAACTGTCGATCAAACTAGACGCATCTTGAGATCGAGAAACGTGAGAGTAAACTAAGACAATGCCCTCTGGATATACCACCTCCCCTTGGGAAGCCTACACAAACCCTAGCACCTACACTGCACAGCACAGTGTCGTGCAGGACAAGAGGAGAACTGTCTAGGTTTACTAGTCTGGCTCTTACCGGTATTCTAGTGCGTTTGTTCGAGCATTACTTCACAGGGAAACATTGTGAGCTTGAAGAAGCAAGAACAAAGCAAAGGTTGGGTGCGGAGGATATATTTGCAAACGAAAAATGGATGCAATACTCACCTACCTTTTCAAGCTCAAAATGCCTTAGCATGTATGGTTCCGGACGTCTTAAGTGTACACCTCAGAATTTGTGACGGGGAACGGCTTGGCAAAGGAAAGAATGTACATGTGTTCAATTCCCAGCCAGGTTAGAGTTTTTTATTAATTGTCAAGCCACATGAGGTGTCCGGGAGGGTAATTTTAGTGAAAATGATAACACATCACCGGCAGAAAAGAAGTGATTGTAAATCTAAAGAAAATAAATATCTATGATATAATATGATCTATTGATATTTTATATAATGATAATATATAGCTTGAACATATTAAAAATAACTATGTTGAGTCCAGGACTTGAACATCTGTTCACTTTTTGAATTTGTGGCTGAATGCCAAGCCATCCCCTGTCACAAATTCTGAGGTGTACACTTGAGACGTCCGGAACCATATCATACTAGAACTTTGGACCGCTAGTTCCCTAAGCTAGAAAAACGCTGCGCATATACCGTTTCCTCTATCCCAGCCGAGGGCAGGGTTTGCGGTGTCTCCCCCTCGCGCAGCTAGGAGATTTCAAGTTTCAACGTCCGAGCGCCTTTGCCTTCACTTCGGGTACCCCTTACGGTAAGTAAGTGATATCATAGACGGGGGATCTCGTGCACAAAGGGACCCATTGCAACAAAAAAACCCAAAGGAAACCGAAGACTGTGCAGCCGCATTACAGGAGACGAAAAGACCAACGATCACGCCAAAACCAATCATTAAATTTCTAAACCCCACAACGGTATCCACAGCTCTGCATTGACGATCCCCTATGATATCCAAACCTAAATCGAAATCCAAATGCTAAACGCCTTCCTTAACCCCAACCCTAGTTTCCCCTATCCTCCGGCACCGGCAGATTTTTCCAGCCCCTGCCTTCCTCCTCCTCTTTCATGACAAGCAACTTCCAACTTCCACAGTACCCACCGCTGTCAACGTCTTTTCGTCGTTCCCCCGACCATGGCATTCCGACCAGCCTTCCAATCAGCCAGTGCGGTCCGGCAAATAGCTTTTCTATTCGCTTAACCATAGGCAGCCAACCAAAGGTGCTTAAGTCATACGTCACTCGGATGTATGGGTTCATATATGTTGCATTGGGCGCGCGGATGTCGGCATGGATGAGGCAGCATTCTGAGGCGTCCCAGTAGGGTTCTTTGGAGGAGCGGAATAGGACTGGGTTTTCCTTCGTGAACACGTTCGCTTGGAAGGCTACAATACCACCCCAGCAGCTCAGTACGGGTACGGCGTCGGTGACACCCTGCAGAGCCTTTCTGCTCCTGCCCGGGGCGAAGTAGGGGTAGAAGGGCACGCCCAGATTGTACCCATCAATATCACGTGTTGCAAAAGTATCATAATATCTAGAGAGTGTGAATTAGAGAATAGTCAATGGATAAATGGGGTTTAATACTTGAAGGGATTAATGAAGTCCATTCCGCAAGCGGCTTGGTATTTCCCTTGATTGGTGGAAAATAGTAGATGGAGTGCTTGAACGGGATCAAATACAACGTCATTTAGGAATAGAACTTTGTTGTACTTCTCTGGACCATCCACCCATCGCTCCGGGAGTGTGGGGGCGTCCTTAGGATCAAGATTCTCCGGCACCTGTTCCCATTCTGTACTCTCGTTTTCACCAGGCGCGGGTTTGTGAACCTTGGGTATCTGGGGCGGGCCGGTGATACCCCAACGCCCAAGAGAGGGAATATAACCGACCAGAGGCAGCAATGCGCGGTTGCGGACTTCGGCAAGATACGTTATTCGCTTGACGTAGGTTTTGTCATTGGGCAGCTTAACTCTCGGAATAGCAGCCAATGGCAGGGTAGTGGAGACAATCGATCGACCAGCTTTCGGAATACTTTCGGCAATCAGTTTATCCAGATCCTCAAGGGCAGCTTTAGTCTCCGGTCCAGAATCGTTCTCGAAAATACCTTTTGAAACAAAGTCAATATATCACACAGCCAAGCACCCCTGGGATCAGGAGGGAGATACGAACTCAAAAATACATTCCCTCCCCCAATCAAGTCCATGAGTTCCATAACAGCATTTCCCCAAGCCCCATTAATCAGATCCGCATCAATTATATTCGCTGCAATGAAAACCTTCTCGCCGGCCGGATTTCCCCGTCCCGACTTTGTGGCCTTCTTCCCACTCTTTCCCCGCCAAAACTCTTGAGGGTTCACCCCGCCACCATTCCGCACAGCGTTCGTGACAGCAGCGTAATTCTCCGGATACTGGGTCTTCGTATACGAGGGATTAAAAATGAATGTGAAAACCAGTAACAGCCCCACCGCCGAAAGCAGCACCGTCGAAACCTGCCAGCACCTCCTCCGTAGACTCCCAGGCCGCCGGCAGCATAGTCTCAAGAACGACAAGCACACGCTCCACTTCAGACGGCGCGAGGATACAACCGTAGTGTAATTCTTATCCTGATCACCCAGCAGCCCACGCGAAGGCGACGAAGCCTCTATATCCTCGTCTTCTTCATCGCCCAGGGTAAATTCCTCCGGGGGAGCTGACGTCCGTTTGGAGAGCTCATAGCTCTCGCTCTCAACAGATGAAGACGAGGAACGCAATGTCGGCGAAGCAGGCCCCGAAGCCCGCCGAACAGGCATTTTGTCTATGCGATTCTGGAGGAGGCTTTCTCGTTAGCGGTTTGCGGAGGACATGGAGGTATTGGGTCATGGAGCCGTGGAATGTTTCGGCGCGTTTGCCAAGGTGCGTAAGCCCTATGGTCCGCTACATGTGCATGGACAATCTCACCGTCTGACTGGGTTAGGGAACTTCCGGTGTTTGTGTTTGGGTTGGCTTGGCGTCTGGACCCTTTGCAAAAACATGTTCCACGAGTAGGTGTCAGGAAATTCCCATGAGGGAATAGGCGCCAAGACTTTGATACCCATCTTTGCTCCTGGAGCTCAGCGCTTTTGTCTGCTCAAGGTGGGGAAAAATGTTATGACACCCCTGAGCATGATATAATAGTTCAGGGCTGGGAGCAGGAATTAAAGCTATGCATTGGGCTCAGAGCTATCCGGCATATGCTCCTAACTTATACTACCGGCAGTTCGTCCGCCCCACTATTGCGGTAAAGTACCCAGCTCAAAAGGGGCTTCTTCCCCACCAAAAATCACTCGCCTGTGCCCGCAATCACGCACAAAAGGGACTCAAATACCGCAATATTAACCAGAAATATCCCTATTCCAAGGCCCCTTATGCCCCAGTGATATGCGTCTTCGATGATATGCCCCTAGGGAATTCACTGTCAGTTGCGGGCAGGCGCCGGAGCGTAACTCGCTTGCACTGCAGTTACAATAGGTTCATGAAGACTGGGCCATATACCCGGAGGTTAAGGTTGCGGAAGGGCCCTTAGCAGCAGGTAAAGCACAAGCACTAGATGCTTTCGCTTCTCCCCCGTCACTCTTCCCGAGGATAGCAAAGGGGAAACAGCCCCATCTTGACCCCATTTAGAGAGGGTGGCAAACCTCCAGGCATTGTGATAAACACCATTGGGCAGTATTAGAATTATAAGGGAAAACCCCACAAGAGAGGTGTTCTCGCCTTCCCCGAGATGAGAAATGGCCCGATAGTTAAACACAAGCTGGGCAGGCAAGTACAATTTGATTAGTTTTCTTCACTCATTGGGGGATAACATACTAGCCGGGTCCGCCGATCATATGACGAGAGCATAACATTTGTAGTTTTCGACACTTTATTACCTTAGAAAACCCACACAAAGGATATCATCTCTAAGATAGAGTAGGGGTAATCATCGGCTGGTTCTCAGGATCTAGTGGCCAAGCAAGTGGTGATCACTAATGTGAACGGGGGAGGTTAGGAGTTCAGCTCTCAGTCGAGTGGAGGTAGTTGGGCGTTAAAAATTCCTGATAAACAGCTTTCTTGCTAGCTAGCTAGGGCACTAGGTGGGTAGGAAGGAGGAAGAGGGGCCCGTACTCCAAGATACCTATGCTTGAGTGATTAGTGATATAGAGTTCGCGCAGGAACGCTGATGCGGCAATCACGGGCCACCTAGGAAGACGCAATCTCCCCCGTCGACCGGGGAACACTTCACCGACCAAGCCGGATATTAATATATCGTGAATATGGTATAGTGCATGCCATTCAAAACCTGCACGAGAAATTCCACAACTTTTAAATTGACAAGGCTCCACAACTAGCAGCATTATATGAAAAGAAAAAACTCAGGGTTGAAGAGAATGTGATGGAGAATAACTGTGAGATTTTCTTTTATTTTTTTTGTCCTTGGTTGGAGAGCCTTGCAAATTTGAAAAGTTGTACTTTTGGTGAGAAGAGAGAAAAATGTTACATCAGCCACAGTTTAAATTCTTAGTAATCAGAGATTTATTATTTAGGAAATTGGGTTTTGGCTTAAAATATCATATTGTGTGATACACTAAAAAGAGTAAATATAACCTGTAACCTATGAGTGATATTATTAACCCTAATGACAACAATCATTATTTCTCTAGTATATGTAATAAAATGATAGTAATATAACTGTGGCTTTAGTATTAAGAGCTTAAGGCATCTTCTTCCCCTTACTTTAGAGTTAGTTTCAGATTGTTGTTAATCACCGGTGCTTATGACGGAGCGGGACTCTGGAGCTCTGTCAGTTCTGTTTTCTTCCTTGGGTACAGAAGTGGTTGGTGTGATGACAGTGGGATAAACAAGCGATTGGAAAGGAGATCACCGAAAGGTGATGATGGAACTGTTAGTGAAACAGGGTACAGAATAGTGATGGGAGAATGATAGGAGAGATGAGCACTGAAGGCTAGAAGAAGGATCGGAAGAAACTACGGAAACTGGCTTAATGAATGCTGTGCTAGCAAGAGAGGGATTGGTGCATGTATAGAGGTGTAAGGGTGATGTCTGATGAGATGGTGTGATCTGGTTGGGAACCCGGGGAGGGTACCGATGGTTTTTTGTGTATTTAAGGGTATTGTTCACCTCCAGATGTTGAGAAAAGCAGCGAGTTATAAAGTCACTGTTTTGATCCCCCTCCTCGGTGAAGCAAGTTCTTAGTCACCGGATCGGATTTATCCCAAGTTTTTATCACAGATGAGCTTGTTTGGAAATTTGTATAAAAGACAGAGTGCATAATGGATTCACATTACAAGGGAGTAATTTATGGTATGGTTCGTGCACTTCAAAATGTATACGAGGCTGAAAAAAATGTGTTACATGTGGCTGTGCAAAATTACCTACCAAGACCTAATTCCCAGTACAATAAGTAAGAAAATTAGGGCTCTGTCCAAGAGGTCTTAATTATTCTGATTACATTTTTTTTCAATTATAATAAAATAATAAAGTGGAATTCATCTTCCCAGTTATAGGAAGTCTGAAATTTATCCAAATACAGTTTCCTATCATTTCATCATTTACCAATCTAGCTCTAATATATTATTAATATTGTGGTTACTTTTGGATTTATGCTTAACAGATGCCAGAAACTTAGAGAAACTAAAACCCTATTTCCTAAGTTAGGGGTTTTATGATTATTAAGCATTTCCAAGTGTGGCTAATATAACACATTTTCAGCATTTACACCAAAAATACAACTTTTCAGATCCTGTTACACCAACAACCACCATTATATTTGAAAATAAAAAACCCAGGCATTAAGTAGAAGATGGTCAAGAAGAATGCCTGGGTTTTTGTTTTTCAATTACATTGGTGGTTGTTAACGCAACAGAGTTTGAAAATGGCTAATTTTCTGGTATACATTTTGAAGTGCACGAACCATACTCCAGAGTTTTAAGCAGCTATTAAGCATAAATATAAAATTCACAGGAGAGTTTCTGATATAATAGAGTTGGGTTAATGTATAATATCATATTTTAAAAGATTATTATACATATTTGTTAATATTTTAACATTTCTCTTCTCTTGTTATTTTTATTATAATCTCATATTATTCATCTTTAAATCAGTTTAAAATAGATTATTCTCTAAACCCTTGACCATAATTCCATGGAAAATTCAAGGCTTGGCATTAAAAGAGGCACAGCCACATGTAACACATTATTTCAGCCTCGTGCATGTTTTGAATGGCATGAACCATAGCGTTTATAGCCCTCGATATTTTATTGCCCTAGAATATTCCTTGCACAAACAATTTCGTCCCAAAATACCTGTACATATAAAGGAAGTAATCTTTGACCAACTTCGGTGACCTTACTGCTAAGGAACTAGTCATTGCCAATGTGGGCTGGGATAGCTGGGAGTTGAGCTCCTGTCTTGGCAGAGTGGTCGGGCGTTAGGAAAATATCCAATGAATTAGGATACCTCTTTTGGTAGCCTTGGGCTAAGCTTTTGGAACCTGTGAGTGTCCGAGTCCTACCAAATGGCTATAGTAATATGTCAAGTATGGTGTCATATGTGGGAATAGTATGAGGGCGCAGTCCTCTTGTCATGCACCGCGGGAAACCCGCCGTCCCTCGTCCGCTCGTTAGGTTATCTACATTTATTTGTATCGCCCTGAAAGTCTCCATGTTTTTTGAGATCTAGGGGATATCTAAAAGTGACACAGTGAGGACAGCCAGACTGTTCACAATGGCGTTACTAAATTTAATAGTAAAATCGGATAGCAGCAGCCCTTAATAAGCGGTATTTATTGAGGTGCAAAGGGTTTCAACACCACCCCCACTACAAGAAATACTGTACTATGCGTAAAGAGCGATATGGTGCCCAAGACTTGAGGATGCGGCAACCCATCATAATCAGAATGGATTGCACCAGGGCACAAGTCTAGCATGGGGATGCTAGAGAAAGGTGCGGGCAGAAATTGTGGAGGTCATTTGGGATGATATATGATACAAACTAGACTTTGACGAAGGGTGAAAGTTAGCTGCTTTTTAGTCGGGGGAATGTATTGCCAAGAATTCTTCAACGTAGGGTTATAGCACAGCAGCCTTGTCATCTTTGGCCGCAAGCCTGGTAAAATGGCAAACCTCCACGATCAAATGTGTGTGCCGCCAGCTAATGTTGAGCAACTACTTTCGGCCACTCATGACTTTAAATCGCTCCCGAGTTCTACTATTTGTAGGGCTAGGGCATATTTTAGCTGACTGCCGGGGATTTTTTTTTGAGCCCTAAAAAATAGCGGCTTGTTATTGTAGGGATTTTTTTACATCGTAGACTGATCTGTGCTGGGGACTGAACGGTAACCCCACCCTCCATTTACTTGCACATCCAAGCAGAATGCTACGATTATATTCTCCTAATTATGGTGCATCCCTCATTCATAATGATTACCAGGTGTACCCGGGACTGTAAGTTAAGTGCGATTGATATGCTACGCCTAGGATACCTTGCCTCCAATCATGGTCGAGGATATTTCAAGCACATAATCGCTGTCAGTCGGGACCCAGGCCAAACTATATGGACTTCGACTCCCCGCCCACAGGGCACTTGAGAGCTACACATGCCCTGAGAAAAACCTGCAGATCATGGTTCTCTGTCAGCTCTGCTGGTGTGAGCCCCCCGTGTTCGGTAGAGCAGTGGCAAGCCTGACACCAGTAATAACGTATGAAATCTATAGATAGGTTGGGATGTTCATAAGATATCATCCCGGGAGCCCGACATGATGCCGTGATTCGAGGGTGGTTAAGAAACTTTCTTAAAGAAAAGAAATAAAGAAATAAAAATTCAACTCTAGCTTTCTTTCATGAGGTAGTAGGTGTTCGATAGAACAAGACCAAAAATTACTTGCTGTCGAGAAATATTGTCTGTTTGACCATCGCCGCCTGACTGTTTGGTAACAGACTCGCACAAGAGCATTTTAGCGGGATTCCAACAGCCTCCATTCTGCCAATATACTGAGGTGATTCTATCAGTCACCTTGAAAAAATTTGGTGCAAAAAGGTAAGAAAGTGGGGAGGGTAAAAATAAAAGGGAAGAGGAGTAAAGACAAAAGATTTAGTCCAGCCGCCCCCCGACACCAACTCCAAGCACCTTTATATCGACTCATTAAAGATGTCCGGACTAGATCCCCAGTATCACCACGTGACTGTGCTAGCATAATTTCTCTAACTTTCTTTTTCTTTCGAGCTATTTCTCTGTCCAACGCCTCCCACTCTCTAGGGAATTTCCGGCGCAAAAGCTTCCTTGCCATTTCAGGTGACATAAAGGTACCGGCGACTGGGTTACGACGCCTGGTGGTTTTCATAAAGTGATCGTATTCGCGGAAATGCCTTCTTAGTCTTTGTAGCAAAAAGACTAACGTCCCATTCTTTTTTGCGTTATCCAAGTTATACACCTGGCGGGTCAGGGAACTATAAGCCGCGAGAATCACCAGGTTGGGGAACCTCAATTCCTGTATCTGGTGGGATTCTGTGGTCAACAATCTCTGGAGGGTTTTTGCGGAGGGTTGTCGGTGGATTTCGAAGAGGCCCACGAGGTCATATATATTAATATGTACTTTGTAGATGAGCTGAAGCGAGTTAGTCGACAGTGACTTAGCATGTTTAGTAGGATTCCGGTAATATCTCCCACCTGATTCGCTTTGCCTCTGCCCATCGGAGCTTTCCCCACCTTCAGCAATTCGACAAGGGTTTCCCACGGCCTCATTTCTTTCTCCTCTGCTGACTTCCTTCGTACCCCAAGGAAGGTATCAAAGCACTTTTCTATTGCAACTTCAAACTCCCGTCGTAGGCCTTTGTACTCCTCTGTCTTTTCGTAGGTTCCCTTCCTCTTCCTACTACCGGTCCGTTCCTTCCACATAGCTTTTCTCACCTCAACCAGCTCCCGGAACTCGACTTCGGAGGATCGATATCTATACGAGTACCCGGGGCACCGATTCTTGATGAAAAACTTTGCAATGGCGGTGTGTCCTTCTAGGACATCTTCCTTCTGATCGCCTTTACTGTCTGATGCGCTATCCTTTCTCTTTCGACTAGTTACCCCCGTCAATTCATCATACTCCTTCTTCACAACAGCAATCCTACCCTCATCCCACCCCTTCACCGTGCATAGTCGCGAGAACTCTACGGGGCTTTCAGCCTCCGGAGAGTATTTGTACCCTCCTACCACCTCGCTATCTTCAAACCGCTCAAAGAACTCCGCGAGGCGTATGGCACGGTGTAACAATTCATGGTGTTTGGCTGTGCTCTCCACTCCCCACTGCCGGGCTTTAGCTAGCCGCTGGAATTCCTGCTCCAGAGGATTTCCGGGCTCGAAAGTGTATCTTTCGAAGTTGTACTTCTTGAAAAATTTTGCATACACTGTTGGGGAATTTCTTGTGGACAGTAAGGCTCTCTGGAGGAAGTGCAAGGCTGGTGTTGGTGGGAGGATGATGCGAAAGGGTAGTAACCTAGATGCGAGCATTTTGAGGTGTATTGGTGCAGATTTGGGAGAGGGGATAGACGAGTTCCTGAGAATTGTGAGATAGTACTTAACATTGTCTGTTGAGCTGGATAAATTGTGTTGAACTATGACAGGTGTTGTGCGGCTTATTACAGAGCTGCGAGTTTGCTGTTCAAGCCTACAGGTGTACAGTACAATATGATTGGCCAAAGCCCGCTTGTGCCACCGGCTTTGTGCATTGTACTAGTACTCGTACAGTACGAGTGCACACAGGTGCAGTTCGGGGATCTCTAATCGCTAGAACAAGCGATTCGGTGCCGTGGATAGATTGCCTGAGTGGGGGGCACGCGGCTGGAGCCTGAAATCGCTTAACCTATCCCGTGTTGTGATGCCTAGAGATACCACAATTAGTTACCAAAGCGCTAATGTGGAAACTCGAACTCCGTAATCAAGGAGTACGGTTACCACAGCACTGTCAGATCATCCTTCCAGCTACTACTTGTACATTTTCAAGCGCAATACAAGAAATGTCAGGGAAGAACACAATATTATACAAATCAGCCAGTTTTCCTTCACCCCCCTCTCTTTTTTTCTTTTCTGTACTGTACAGTAGAGTACTGTACATCCTCTTTTCTAGAGGAATAGATAGCCACCCAACAATTGAGACATCAACTCGGTCAGAGACAAAACCTCGGTTCCAGCAATCAGTTTAAATGGTAGAAAACAATTCTGCGAGCGCCTTACCCGCCGCTTCAAAGCTGACCCAATCGGTCGAGAATGAAAAAAGCGCGTTCCATACCATTGCCACAATAATATCACAAGTGTGATATCATACAACCGATGGCTACACCATATAGCTGCACTATCCAGACCCTTCTCATGCAGGGTTCGATATATCATACCGATAAATCACTTCACCGCTAGTATTAAAGTCCTGCCCCAAACTCCCCTATCTACCATAGGTTTTCGCCGCACAATAACCTTGCAGGGGTAGCCCACCGGCCGCACAGGAGAGAGGAGCCTCGCAACCGGTGAGTGTGGATGCGAGTGAACGTCGAGCTACCGTACTATATTACCAGGTTATATAGCCTGTTCACAGCACATGGCGAACTCGAGCGAAGGGGATATCTAGGTCCCGCGTGACTTAATGAACCCACTACGCGCGGAGGAAGTATCATGAGGATGCTCGACGGTCATGATTGGGCACTCGGGGCTCAACCAACATCATTCCTGGTAGCTCTCCCTCCCCTCCCGGCCCTCGGCATTCTTTGGCCACAGTGCGAAGTGATATTCATTTTACTTGTGCTCTCCTCAATAGCTCAGCTACTCATCACCCGGTAACTAGCAAAATTGCTGAATGGAGGTCTGATATTCCGTCCGGTCGTCCACTACTCGAGGAAGGCAAGATGTCACTCGCCCGTAGGACCGCTTCACTACTATTGTCTATTTAGCCTAATAGAGAAGGGAAAAGATGTAAAATTTGAAGGAATCGACCCGCTATTAGTGAGAAGTTTCAGCACCATGTCAATGCAGGAATCGAAACTAAGGTATGATATGAGAGGGGGGAGAAATTTGAATAGAGAGACTCTGAATAAACGAGGGAGGGAAGAAATGAATTGATGATCCAAAGTGGGAGGAGAAATATCAAGAGATAGACCAAAAAGAAAAGCCGACGAAAGCCCAACTAATAACCCACTACAAGAAAGCGTGATAGAAACACCAATCCAAAAATAATAGTAAGGATAAAAGAAAACCCCAGCTTATCTCCTCCGCTTCCTCCGCTTCCCCCGCTTCCCCTTCGCAGTACATCCGACACTGTCACTCTGCACCACTTTTTTTTGGAAAACCTCCCCCGATTTCCCCTCCCTTGCCCTTTGGGCCTTCCTCTGCTCCATGAGCCTCCACTCCCGTGCTTGCTGTTCAAATCCCATCCACTCCTCAGGAAGAACATCTATCTCCCCATCCTCTCTGTCAACTCCCGGCTCTTGCTCGGCGACCACCTCTAGAGGATCTCGACATGCCCGACACTTAGAAACCTCACTGAATGCGTGATCGGGGTGTAGAGGGCATATTTGGAGGCCACACTTTTTGAAGCACCGGGCGGTGGCCACCCTGCCGCACTTGGGGCAGTGGTGGGTTTGTATCATTAGAGGTGTAGGGGTATGTCGGTTGTGGGTTAGGGTAAAGAGGGGTCGAATAGGGTAAGGTTTTTGCTTTGGTTCTATGGTAGACCAGCTATCGGTATCGATCGCAAGCGTGATTTTTTGTAGTATTTAGCGAGTAGTTGTGAGTGTGGTATCCTAGAATCAATGTCAGCATAGCTTCGTTTAGAGGTTATAGATGAAGATAGAGAGAGGATGGAAAAGATAAAGCTTCTGGGGGGGCTACCTGATGATGGACATTAAATGTAGATAAAGTGGATGGGGAGAAGAGCAGGGGGTCTGGGTCGTGACCGGGGAGATCAAATAAATGGATGAGGGAGGCCTGAGCAGTAGTTGTAAGAATAGGAGCAGATAATAATAACAGGAGGGTCTCTGGGGGAAGGAGAAGTATCTTACCGTTCCTAAGCAATTTTGCGATAGCCAAAAGTAGGAAGGGCCTGAAGAGAAAACGAGAATATAGGTATCTGGGAGAAAGCGAGAAACATTTTATAGCTAGAATCTTAGGACCAATAACCCTAGCAGCGCTGTGGAATATTCTTCGCGTTCGGTCGCGACGAGGTGGTTTCGACTAACTGCCCGACTCCGACGTGTTTTGAAGCAAATATCCGAACATTTCAAGCTTATTTGTTGCTTTTTGTCACGGTAAAGGGAAGTTACAGCACTATTACTCCCCCTCCCTAGATTTACCCCATGCAGGGACGAATCTGAAGGGGATTCTCATGACCCGAGCCAGATGAAGAAAAAATATTCGAAAACGCGAAGTCATTATTAACCACTTGACAGGAAGCGATGAAGACTTCGTGGTACTCCACTCAAGCAGGCAGCTTCGGAAGTCATCTAGTTTTTAAGCTACTTTCTTTGCTCACGTCTAGCTATGACAGAGTCTATTCCACGTTAACCAGCACCCTCCGTGCTATCTCCCGTACCTCCTTATTTTAAAACTCTTCTTTAGGCCGGGGCTACGGACTTACCTAAAATAAGAGGGTGAAGAGGAATACCAAAAGATTGGACGTATATATGAAGTGGATCGGGGTAGAGGTAGGAAAACAGTGAGGGAAGGGATAGGGGAGCGAAGGATTGCGACACGCGGAACATACTTGAAGGCAAGCGAAGAAGGACCAGAAATAGCAAATATATCGAGAGAATGCTTTCGGAGAACTATATGATACTGCATGGAGAACCTGAGTTAAATGTGAATATAGTTAACGCCCTGAATATTCTCCTTCACGATAATTATTCATCACTAAATGTCACTCTGGAATTCAAATTCCCGTGAGTTGCTTCTCTCCAGCTCCGTCTATGTGTGAGGACCTCTAACCAGCTTGTCAAGCCAGAATACATATACATATTCCTGATATCCAATCCGGGAGAAGTATATCGAATATAAGTCAAGCATTATCCATCGGGGGAGTAAAAGGCTGGAATCACCAGGACCCATAACTTTCAGGTGTTCCCAACGCATCCCAGCCACCAAAGTTAATTTTAAAGCCCTGAGCTATGCAGCAAACGCCTTAGGTTACTTGGGTAAATGATGACACAGGGGTGCTCATTCGCGGCCCTCGATAGGTCTAACCTGCTAGAGGGTAGTAAAATAACCTACCTGGGGAAAGCTGTGAGTCGAGTTCGATAACCTACAATCGAAAAGAAGTTTAAGCTCCCAATTGCTCTTCTCTCCAAGCGCCATGGCACTGGTACTGTTTTGTATAAAGGAATTCTCGGGTGGGCGTTGGTAGATGATTGATCTTCGCTACACATATCAGTCTTGAATAGGTAATCTATAATACCTTCTATCATACCAATGGCAGATACTCAATCCCGATTCTCCGACAAATAGAGCAAGTTCCTAAAATGGCTAATAGTGGTAGAGTAGTTCAGCAATTATTGTCAACCACCTAAAAAATTTCCACCATTCTGGTAGCAGAGAGTCCGTAAGGTATTTGAAATTCGCGGCTGCTGCTGCCCCTCCCCGCAACACATGGACCTCGCAAACCGGCTTCCTGTCCCAAGGAAGATTCCCGGGTCCCAAGGGCGTCCCTGAAACCGCTACGGCGGCTATAAAGAGACAATTCAATCACGCTCCAGGGCTACTGATGCTGCGACCACAGTAACTGCTCCCCAAACCCAGCCGACATGAGCCTAATGATATACTCCTTAGAATTCAATCAAGTGTGTGCTTTCCTATTCCAAAACCATCTGGAAACAGCCTCACCGCTTGGGATTAATAAAGGCTAAGATTCCTGCTACTTTTGGAATGGGCAAGTATTCCATGACATCGGATCGTTCGAGAATAGCCCACCGTAAGGTGGGATAAACTCCCAGGACCCTGCTGATCCCACCGGGGCTAATTGGTCCCTAGGACCCTAGTCAGTACTCCAGCTAGGGACATACCTCACGCGATATTATCATGGGAGGTAATTCTGACCCTGCCGACAAACAGCCTGGGTTTCTCCGCGGGGTTAAAAGGGATAACCAAAGGTTAGAATACCGGTATTGTAGGGGGTAAAAATGTGTTTGTTTTCTTTTATAAAAACCTGGGGGTTTGTACTGTGAAGCTAGGTTTTGTTTGATTGTTAGGGTTTGGTTGGGACTAGCCATAATGATATTCTATGGAGTGGAGAGGGATAAAAGGAATTCCCCTCCCCTACCCAACCAAGGAACCGAGGACGAACGAAGAACGAGACGAAGACGAGCGGACGAACAAGGAACGAAGAGAAGGAGGATAACCTACGGCTACGAAGTTTATACCTACGTTTGGGAATTTTACCTGTGTTTGTTCCTTCCTTTTCTTTACATCAAAGTGATTTTTACGGACCTCTTTCGGAATTATTTCTCTTGTGTGAAAGCTCGATCGCCTGTTCGATTTATAAGTGAGTGAAGCTTACTTGTTTTGTGTGTTTGGCTTTCAGACTCCGATCTGTCCCTTTCAGTATCACACACCCCGGAGCAAGCAGGTCCCTGATGGAAGAGAGCTCACAAACCCTAATTACTAATACCTAACAACAAAAGCCCCTTCGTATGGAAAAATCAAAGGAACTTAGCAATGAGAAAAAATGTAGGTTTGGTAAATTTAGTTAAGCAAGTCAGATCCCGAGGGGCACCACCGACCACAGATGTAGGGCATAAAACCGTCCCGCGTCTGTGGGAGCGCCATGATGTATCATAATGCCCACGACCTCTGATAACCTCGCCCGAGGCATCGCATCAAATCGCCAGGCTAGGCGTCGTGAATCGCAGAAACCATACCGCCCTCAGGAGACCACTAATGTCGGGTGGGATGCTATGAGTTCCCCACTCCCACTCCTACCGCTGCATATAGAGGATCATCAGAATCACAAAAAGCTATCCAGTCGGAAATCTTCATCAGGGGCGGTCGTTTGAGCTACATATTTATCGCTTCCTCCTCATTTTTGTAAACGCGGGTGGGACTCCAGGGGTGGGTGAATTCTTACCAAATTGGGATAGTTGGGGAAGCGAGTTCCTAAATAGTAGATACCCATTGAGCCCCCCTGCCGCTGGAGCCGGAATAATTGATAATGGCGCGGGGACGTCCAGAATATCCTCTTTTGGATTAAGCGGGGAAATGCAGCTGAGGAACCCCATCCAACCCTCGGCAGAGGCAAGTCCAACGCCCGGCGAGATTCTCAATTATTCTAGTTCTTATGGTACCGGTACCGTGCCCGGGAAGACACTTGTGCATATATGGCGGATCCCAGATGCATCAGTCATTCGTTTATTTGATCCTTTTGAAAACACTGCGCGAGCTAAAATGGGTCAATATCCCCCCTTTACTTTCTCAAGCCCCTCCATAGGCAGACCCTGCTGCTCCGGTCGTAAGAAGCAGCATCCCAGAACAAACCCCGGCCAGGTGGAACTGCCGTATGATGCTTAGCAATATATAAATATACTCGCACCCTGCTTTCCCGGAAGGCCAAAATCCGGGGAGTTTCTCTCCGGTACAACAGGTAATCCGGGGAGGGTGGGTCAGGTTTTGGTATCGAGAAATTCAAGACTCACAGAGGCCTCATACGGGACAGCGGGGTATCCTGATTGTCGAGATCCGGGATACCGGGGTATGAATGTACGATGTACCAGTTTTATATATATAGCTCAAAATCTATCAGTCTCTTCGCCACGCCAAACACAACGTAGCGCAAGGCTAGAAGTTATCATTGTTTATTACACCACTACCTCATCCAACTACCGGTGTATATAGAACACCGCACCGGGAACTCAAAGCACAGCTTTCTCCTTCTGTGCCTTGCAGTCCTGCCCTCCAAATACCAATACCTCACTAAAAATATGGGAACAAATTGCTGTGCACTGACCCCCCCCTTATCGGGCCGGGCCAGACATACGATAAGCACCCGGCAAATACACAAATTCCCAATAGCAGACCAAACCCGCCCTACAATCATTTCCCCATAACCTCACCAGCACGCGCGGGGCGGTGTACCCTATCCACCCCCTTACGCTCACTAAGCTATAGCGCAAGTATTACGAGATCCCGCCAACCTTACTCCTATCGCACTTGTACCAATCACTCGATCACTCACATGATATCATACCAGCGTGGGGATCTGCGTGTCCGGGGCAGGTTTCAGAGTAGGGAGAGGTCTAGCTACCGGCCAAGGATCGGCCAAAGGGTGGAGAAAGAGGAAAGCTCTGCTGTGGGGTTCGGGGATAATCTTACTAGCGCCTTCGTAGAGGACTGCACGTGTTATACCTAGCAGTATTCTTAAAGCTATTGGTGGGGAAGCAATTCCGCTCTCTCTGGGGTGTTCTGCTGTATCCTCCGGGCTGCTGTTGTGCCTACACATGCGTAAGAAGTGTAGTTCCGTCCCCACCTATGCCCACCCAGCATATCTGCGATAAGGAGTACTGTGCGGTACATGTGCAGATATTAATACGGTAAGCCACGGTGGGTTGTGCATGGGCCGCCTTGGTCTACTTGTATTCTACCTGGAGGATGGCATGTAAAGCACAGTACCGATACTGTACTCCTGGCGAGGATAAAAGCCCGGATACCCCCAAACGCTGGTAAGCTTGGGATATCAACGGAACAAGGGAACTTACCGAAAATTCGAAAGGTTGTGGACTTGTTTGCAGCGTCATATTTAGTAAAGAATTTGTTTCCCAAATTTCAATGGCCTCTTGGGAGCCGATAGATTCTGTTGTCAAAATCCCCTTGTTGGTTAGTTTTGGCTGCATCGTCCCAACGTGTCCGAATCTTTAACCCCACAAGGGGCAGACGGATGGGGATATAGGAGCGTATCTACCGCTGCTACTTCCCGTGCCGTAAAAGCTCGTGAAACCCACTATCTCCGTCAGCCCCCCGAGAAGGATTAGCGTTTTCCTGATATAGTAAATGATCGGCCAGCTAGGTATGTTAGATCTCGCTAACCGGCATTCGCAACTCTGTCAACTCGCCAAACCAAACCTATACGGTACTCGTAGCGGGATGACGGGCTCCCGGAGACTGTGGATTTCAGCAGACTTTACGGTACGAGTACTCGTACAGTACAGTACTCGTGCAAGTATGATACTATACGATCCTGGTAAGCAGCGTGGGGTCCAAAGGAAATGGCCACCCACACCCCAAACTGCAGCTCCTCTCGCCCCTAAGATAACCAAACAAATAAATGACGATCTGCACACCAATATGCAGCGAAGCCTTTCTCCTTCTCTCCCCACATCCCCCGGCCCGAAGCATGGGTAAAAAGAGGGTCACACACTCTCACTCGATGAGTGATACTTAGAGGACATGTGTCCACTCGCCGTGCCAATTTGCCGATGATTCGTCCATTACGGGGAGGATTACAACCCTTTGAAGGTTGTGGGGCATGAATTCTCTCTCTTTTTCTTTTTCTTCTTTTAAAAAAGACACTAGCGCAAGACTCGGGGGTATGTAGCTGAGTCGGGAGCCGATGTTTCTTCGCACATTATGTGGTGGCCCGCACGGTAGTCATTCGGCATCCCGCAACCAGTGGGATATGTATCATACCCCAAAAACCGTTAAGGGGGGCAGCGAAGAAGATGAGAGAAGGGGAGTAACGTTGCTCAAAGGAGAGGGCACCGCCCATTGTGCTCCTAATAACTAGTCTCGTATTCGTACTAGTGCTCTCCTGGTGCGGTACGGTACTCCCACAAGAGTCAGGCGTGAAAAAGTGGTACGAGTAGGGAGCGGGGGCGTTGATGTTGACTCTGGTCAACGCTGGTGGACAGTGGTAGCACTGTACTCGAGTATACAGCAACCAGCTTGTCTGGAAACGCAAGCCATCCATTGCTCAACAGGAACCTGGGGCGAGTTTTTCTTTTCCTTCTTTTCCCTCTCGACAGAAGTATCAAATTTGAAGCCAGGGAGCCCATCTATTACTGAGACAACACGAAATAGGATCATCTCACGGGCCATTTTTTTCGCGCGCATCGCTGCTATCATCCCGGCGCTGAGACTTTGGTTCTGCGCTTGCACCACTCCCGACATTACCCTTGATCCTTGTCCGTCACTCCGCTGGTGCATCGCGCCATATGTGAGATCCCGGCCAAGCAAATTTAGTAATCTCCCCGAGACCAACTCGTATTACGAGGCGCATCACGCCGTGACACCCCCATCTTTAGGCGTGACTTCCCAAAAGCGCCTTCCATCCAGGCATTCCTGAAACGCAACCACATTACGATAACCCCTGCACCCTGCCTCGTATTCGCTCCTGCGTATTCGCTCTCGCGTTCGTACTTTCATATATTCGCATCACCCCTCTCGCTTTTACCTCTCTTTGCGTTCCCTTTTTTTTTTCGGCGTTTGGCAAAAAAAAAACAATTACGGAGGTTCTTCTGCTTTATCCGTTCCATTTCCGTTTTTTTCGCGGTGATAGCACGGTCGGTCCGGGATGCCCCCAAGAAGAACACACACAAAGTCACGAGCGGGATGCACCAAATGCAAGAAACGGAGGATAAAGGTGTGCTTAAAATCCCAATGTCCCTTCCATTCTTTACTGCTACCTGCCCTGCCTGCCGCTACCAGGTGGCGGGGGGCAGGGTTTCCGGACTTGAGCCTAAAGTGTTTCCCGGGTTTGGGGTTCGGACTGAGGTTAACATTTAGTTTGGCGATTCCGTTTTGGTCTTTATTTAGTGCGATGAGGTGCACCCTTCTTGCGGGAACTGTGTAAAGCATGCGATTGTGTGCGATTTTTCAAGTGCCGCCGGCATGTCACCCGCTGGCGTCATTTCGACTGCCCCTTCCTCCTCATCCGAGTTGCCAGTTTCGAGTCCTATGACGCTGGATGCTAGTCCTTCGCCCGGGAATGGACAGCACCAAGCCATGACACCGCATCAGCAAGGATTCTTCCCGCAGAGCACCGTTACCACGGTTTCACCCGTCATCAACATGACCGATATGGAGCTTCTACACCACTGGACCATATCAGTTCCATCTTCATTAACTGGAAAGGACGACATCGAGTTCATCTGGAGGGAGGTCATCCCCCGCTTGGCCTTCCGGGAATCACAGGGCTGCTTGGTCCACGCGATACTCGCTATTTCGGCATTGCATCTCGCATTCGTCGAGCCCGACAAGCGGGCTCAGATGATGTGCACTGCCGCGGACCACTACGGTGAAGCGGTGCGGGGGGTGAAGGACAGCGTTGGTGTTCCAACCGCCATCAAAAAGGACAATTGCGAAGGCCTCTTTGCCTCCTCAACGTTGATAGTAGTGTATGCGATTGCGAACCCAATGCTGACCGAGAAGGTCAGCCCGCCGACGGAAATCCCCCCGTGGACAATGCCGGCCTGGCTACCTCTCATCCGTGGCGTGCACTCGATACTGAAGGCGGTATGGACGTGGATAGAGACGGGATGCTTGTCCCCGCTGCTCAACGGACACAACTACGTCGGCGATTCGGCCGGCGAGGACGACGCCATGAACGCGCTGTTCCAGATATGCACCGACAAGCGGGAACAGGACGCGGACGAGATCAAGGACTCGGCCGTCTCCCAGGCTTACTTTGGCGCGATCCACGAGCTGCAGAAGAACTTTGCCAATGAGATTGCCCTGCGTAGGAAGATGGTGTCCCTGATATTCATATGGCCGGTATCTGTTTCCGATGCCTTCTTCACTCTGCTTCAAGAACGCAGGCCGCGAGCATTGGTTATATTTGCGCATTACTGCGTGCTGCTGAACAAGTTGGAGGGCTTCTGGTGGGTCGAGGGACGGGCGAATTATGAGCTGGAAAGGATTGAGAGGACCCTGCCCGAGCCGTGGAGGAAATGGTTGGAGTGGCCAATAAAGATGATACGGGGCGGTTGATTTCTCAGTTGATCTCTTTCTTTCTTTCTTTTTTTTTCCCTGCGTGATTGAAGCGGCATCTATTTTCTTTTGCTAAGTGGCATGTTATTCCTCTCCCCCCTTCCCCCCTACCCATTCTCTCGCTTTTTCTGCTTTATCTTTTTTTCCCACCGGTCGTAGAACGGTATCTAGGAGGTCTATGTTAATACAATGTAAACCGTGGTGTCATACCCAAATGGTATGGGATACGGAATGCCAACAAAAAACCTAACCCAAACCCGTGTAACGAATTTTCTCGAGCGTGTGTAGACTACTCGAGTACCCGTACCTGAAAATCACTTGCAGCAAGCAAGCCACTGGTCTGAAACCGTAGCCACCCTCCCAGGTTGAAGTTGTGGGAAATGTGATATCACCGTTTTTGCGAAATATGGAGACCAGGATAAAAATTCCCCAACCGCCCGTCCCCATTGGCCAGACCTCACAAATTCTGGGGCCATCATTGGCTACTTGTACTTGTGGACATGCTTCGGGAAATTCACACCAGATCGCTTTTCCTTTTCCTTTTCTCTCTTCACCCCACCCGGCAATTACCATCCGCCGATCTACCAGGCACCCGCGTGATCAAACGAATGGAAGAAATGCAACTACGAGTACAGGTAGTTAACTAGTATCGGTAGAACCTTGCGATTTCCGGGACAGTCATCATTTTTTTCTTCTTCTCTCTTTCCTTTTTTTTCCCGCCCTCGTAAATGCCATCATAGAAAAGTATCGTACGAGGACTGCATGAGATTCTGCAGGTATCATTCGTCCGGAAATAGCTTGTTCTGATATTTTGCTTTTTCATCCTCCAACTGTTCCGTGCTAGTACGAGTACTTGGAGGAAGGATATTGTAGTGTGGTAGCGTGCAGGGTAGCCATTGGCGTCCAATCTCTCTACCCCAGGACCGCTATGCAAGGTATGCCGCGATAAGATGTTTGTAGATTATGATACCGTGTCGTGCGAATTGTGCTTTGGGTGGGATCTGAGAAAAGTTGCTGCTGGTATGCCGTTGTTGTCGTTGTAGCTCTTGGCCTTACGCCTGTTCTCGCTCTCCTGCCTGCCTACCGTATGATACCTGCGTTTTTTGCTTCCTGCCAACTAGTGGGGGTAGGTATCGTATAGTGCCGGGCACTTGAAATCGGCTAAAAACTAGCGCGAGGATAATTTTCGAAAATACTCAACTACAAGCTTCGGATTGCACATGTTTGGTCACTTTCGAGGTAATTGTAGCCAAGCCTCACTGCCTCACTGTTTTGTATAAGCTAAATCTGTTGAATGAGTGTTGATTTCAAGTGCCCGGCACCAAATGGTACTCCGCGGTAGGAGCTTTCGAAGCCGTGCCGCAAGGGGAGGGGGAGGGATACCGGTGTTGAAAGAAAGAATGAAAAAAAGTAAACCACCGTATCTAGGCAGCTAGACTAATGGCAAAATAATTAGTGCCCGCAGGTGGGGGCTTCCCCCCCCCCCTTTCCTTTCCCTTCCCTGAGCACTCAGGTATCGTGTCTTTAGGTGTGATCGGGCCGGTGGGGAAGAAGGAGGTGGTCGACGTGGAGAAAAAGAGAAGTGAAGGGTTATCGTACGAGCATTCGGGGACGTGAAGGGGCTTTTCTTCCCAGGATCTCTCTCGGTGACCCGCTTCGTGTGGGGGGATTGATTCCTCCGGTTGTGGATGGAGTGTTCTACTCGAATACCGTATCATATCAAAGCTGCGAGTATCGAACTGACCTGACTCGCGGGAGCTCCGCGTGGTTTGTCCACGTGCGCCTCACGAGACCATTCCATTTCTTTTTCTTCCCCATCGGCTTCTCGGGAGAGTTTGCCCGTCTCTCCGCGCTCTTTTTCACGGTGCTTCTCTGTTCCCGAGTGAGATCCGGGTACGATGAGTTGATTCGCTGGGTGCGCTGTTATTTCCCGAACGGCTATTACATTCTTTCCCCGATGCGTTGCAATGTCTTACTATTGTTGGAGCATGGCTGGCTAGCATCATTAAGCATCATACGCATGGTAATTGCTTTCGCCCCCCCGTCTTCGACCCATCTGACAACTGTCGTCGAAGTGGAGGGTTTGCAATGTACTGTACAAGTACTTGCAGTCTTTGAGCACCCTTCTTTCCTCACCATTATTTTCCACCATCCGACGGGTCCCCAAGACTATTAGTTATCCAACTGAGCAGAACTGCCATTACGAAACCCTCAGACTGCGAGCATTCCTCTTCCCCTAAGATATCTTGGCGATACTAAAGTACTAGGACAAATCTTTTCGTCCGATCAGTGGTTACTCAGCAACCCTACAAAAAAACCCTCCTCAACAATCAACCACTCCTCAACAACTATGCCTCAGGCAAAGACTGACCACCTTACAGAGTTTGAGAAAGGGCAAATTGTTGCCCTGAGAAAGAAAAGTCTCTCTTTTTCTGAGATTGGGAATCTCTTAAATTATCCCAAAAGTACAGTTCTCACTTTCTACACCTAGTATCAAAAGAGGGGTGATAAGAAAAATCTTTCCATACCTAGCAGACACAAAATTATTGATACTAGAATCTACCACCACCTAGTCAGACAGTCTAAGAAGGCACACCACCAGCCTCTATCAGAATTGCATAATAAGATTGCTCCTCAAACCTCTATGAAGACAAGTAAGGTGTTAAGAATCCTACCAGGCATGGGGGTGCAACAGGTAACAAATCTTATCTTGCTGCCAGTATAAGGGGATAGTTCTTAGACTATTGTCTATATGAGTCGTATAGCTGAGTCCTTTTGACTTCTATATTATCGTGCCTATTACCTTAACCTTCTTCAAGTTTAAGTTAAGTCCTCGCTTAGGACTTACTCATTCCGCGTGAGAGGAAAGACAATTCTTGGATTATTAAGGTAGAGTAAAGAGCTGTTAAGAATCCTACCGGGTAGGACCTAGCGACAGGTAATGATACTTCTCGGTAAGGTGATAGCTCTTAGGCCTATGCCTACGCGAACCCGATAGTCTAGTCCTTTGACTACTATCGTACTCGCGCCTATCTCCTTATTCGTCTCCTTAGTCCTCGCCTAGGACTTTAATCTTTTCTCGTGAGAGGAAAGACACTTCTCGGGTTTCTTAAGGTAAATCTTAAAGAGTGTAAAGGTAGGTTTTATTGATAATAACTTGAAAGTAGGAAATAAACTAGAAGAACGTGTGAAGAGCTCGTACTCGGGGTCCTAGTGACCCTTTATATAGTTGCTCTTCACCTGGCGTGACTCACGCCTCGTGTCACGCGAACCCTGTGACTCATAACCCTGAGTCATATGAAATCCATCAGACGACTCCTATGAGTCGCTGCGCAACATGCCTAAACCAATCAAAACATAATAACTAAGTCAAGTGCGCAACTCGCGTCACCTGAGTGAAACCCATGATTTATAAGTATGAGTCATGTGCGAAAATCATAACATCGTGTGACTCACAACTGTGAGTCACGAACAGGTAAACATAATAACCTATGGCGCACTAGTGTGCGTCATGTGAAATCCCAACATACCTATAACTCGGAAATCCGAGCTATGTGAAATCTGTCTTGCTTAGTCACAGTTTGTGACATTAGCTCCCCTCTCCCTCAGCCCGAGTCCCATCGGGCTTTAGTCTTTCATTCCCCATCTTCTTCCTTCGGGTAGCAGATAGTACCTATTCGCTCCCGTGTTCACCTTGACCACCCTGGCCAGAGTTCTTCTTACTTCCTTCTCCTCTTTTCTCCAGTCGTTCTGGAGAGTCTTCCTCATGTCCCTTTCTCCTTGTAACTCCTTCGTCAAATTGTCATTGCTCCACCTCGTCCTCTCCAGCTCCTTCTTGAGCTCCTCTATCTTTTCCGCCTGATATTCCAGCAACTTGCTGGTTTCGACCTTCTCCGCTAACCACTTCATTTTGACCTCTTTCGAGGTCTCATGCTCCGTCTCTTCTTCCATCTCTTGTTGCCAGGAAACCTGCTTCGGTTTCCTGGGCTTTGTCCATTGTCTTTGTTTTTTCGCCCCCCTCCTCCTCGATTCCGTCCTCCGAGTCGGTTCGATGTATTGGACCAGAGCCACTGGCTCTGGTGTGGGGGTTCTCGTTGGTGATCCCAGAGGTGAAGTCCTGGGTGGCCATTAGTTCTCCTTCCGAGGCCAGTATCCCGCTTCTTCTTTCTCACTTTTGTACACTTGGCACTCGTCGTCGTAGCAACCTGTGCATGACAGGTTCGCGTGCTCCCTTTGGGTAGTAGGAGTCTTCGGTATCGGTAGGTCTTTCAGACTTATCTAGTCCTCGGGGTTGTATTCTATCTCGTCTTTCTTCGGTTTGGGGCTCGGGGTGCGGTATCTCGGGCTGGTTGGGGTAATGTGTTTGAACGCGTCGCGTCCCGGGTCGGTCTGGAGTGACGCCCTCAACGGTATCATTTCCATTTTTATCTGAGGCTGATGCCACTCGTAGGTGTCTGTTCTGCGTACTGGCGGGGCCACATATTCGGATTCGGGTGCGTCTTCTACCGTTGCTTGACGGCTTGCTGGGGTATCGTTGATGGAATTGGTTGACTGCATTTTGCGCGTGATCAAAGTTCTCGGCTGAGTACCAAGTCTTATCGTGTTCTGGAGAGTATCCAGTCCACTTCGCTCGGTACTGTAAGCGACCGTAGTGTAATCGAGAGTCGATTATTTCTTCGAGTTCGTATTCCGATTCACCGTCTATTTCGATAGGCGGTGGTGGGGGTTTCTTTTGATATGGTAGAGGATTGTCTTGATAGGGTTCGAGGAGGCTGATATGGAAGGTGTTATGTATTTTCATTGACGGTGGGAGGTTGAGTTTATAAGCGCGGCTTACTATTTTTGCCAATATCTTGAATGGTCCTATTTTCTTGTAATCTAGTTTCTTTGTCGGTCGCGTGGTTCGGATGTTGCGTGGTAGTAACCAAACCATATCTCCTGATTTTAGGTTTGGATCGGGTTTTCTGTGGCGATCGTAATCTTCCTTTTGTCGTAATTGAGCCGTGACCATTTCGTTTCGTAATGTGTCGTATAGTTGACTCATATCCTTTTTATCCGTTATCTTTCCTTGGAGCATATGACCTATGCTTTCGTATTGGGGGTGTATGCTGTAATTTGCGAAGAAAGGAGTTGTTTTGATTGTCTCTTGTTTTCCGTTGTTGTAGGCGAACTCGGCTAGTGATAGCCAGTCGTACCAATCGTCTTGTTGGTAGTTGACGTATGCGTGGAGATATTGTTCGAATATGCTGTTAATTCTTTCCGTTTGCCCATCCGTCTGGGGGTGAAAGGCTGTGCTCATCCGTCGTTCGATTCCTAGTTTTTCTGTTGTTTCTTTCCATACTTCAGAAGTAAATAGGGATCCCCTATGGCTAATGATGTCTTTGGGTAATCCGTGTAGGCGGTATATTTCTTTTAGGAATATTGCTGCAAACTGCCGTGCCGTCATATCCGTCTTGCACGGTATGAAGTGACTCATTTTGGTCAGGCGATCTACTACCACTAGTATGGCATCATGATCGTCTGACTTGGGTAGTTCGGTTATAAAGTCCAATGATATAGACTTCCATGGTTTTTCCGGGGCATCATTTGATTTGAGTAATCCGTAAGGTGCATGTCGTACCACTTTGGTTCTTTGGCATGTGTCGCAATTCTTGAAATATCATTTGATGTCTTCTCTTATCTTGGGCCAGTAATATCTTCTGTTGGTGAATTCGGTAGTTTTGGCGGTTCCTCCATGCCCGGCATATGGAGGGTCGTGATAGTGTCATATGATTTCCATGCGTAATTCTTCTTTGTTTGGTATCCAGATTTTCCCGTCGTACCATAGGTAGTCGTCTTTCCATTGGCATAATCCTAAGGCTACCCCCTTGGCTTCTTTTATTCCTTGTGCCAGTTTTTCCTTTATGGCTTGGATTTCCACGTCTTGTGAACTTTCTTTCTTGATATCTTCTTCCAATGTTCTTTGTGTGTTGATTTCGTTCAGGGACTCATATCCACTGTCTTCGTCCTCTGATTGAAAATATTTTTCTTTCGGTAACAGTATTTGTTGTTTCTGTTTGATTCTTTCGTCCTCTGGGTCTTTTGGTTTGTCCGCTGATCGTCTCGTCAAGGCATCTGGCTTTCCTCCTTCTTTTCTGGGGCAATATTCAATCTTGAAGTTGTAGGTGCTGAGTTTCTCCATCCACCTTATTTGTCGTCTGTTTAGCTCCTTCGTAGTCGTAAAGGGTACCAAGTATTTGTGGTCTGTGAGTATTTTGACTGGTGCTTGATTGTTT